CCCCCGGGGGGCCACCCCCCCCCCCCCCCCCCCCCCCTTGTACCTCACTTCGCAAGCCTCGGTACTCTCGCGAAAAAAAATAAGGGCTATTTTCAATTTCTGGGGAGAACCCTGTATCAGTGTTGCATATATGCTGAAAAAAGTGAAAAAACAGCATAATTTCCATAAAAGTGGCCCGATCGTGCTGATTTTCAAACTTGACCTGCCTATTATGAATGTTCATCAGTTCTGTAAGTTTCAAGTTAAAAAGTATAGCAGTTTTTCACTTATCGTGTTATCAGGGTTGCATATATGCTGAAAAAAAGTGAAAAAACGACATAACTTCCATAAAAATGGCCTGATCACGCTGATTTTCAAACTTGACCTGCATATTATGAATATTTATCAGTTCTGTAAATTTCTAGCCAAAAGGTAAAATGGTTTTTCACTTATCGGTGTTGCATAAATGCTGAAAAAAGTGAAAAAACAGCATAATTTCCATATAGATGACCCGATTATGCTGATTTTTTAACTTGACCTGCGTATTATGAATATTCGTCAGTTCTGTAAGTTTCAAGCCAAAAGGTAAAATGGTTTTTCACTTATCGTGTCCTCGGTGTTGCAAAAATGTTGAAAAAAGTAAAAAGTGAAAAAACAGCATAACTCCCCTAAAAATGGCCAGATCATGCTGATTTTTGAGCTTGACCTGCGTATTATGAATATTCATCAGTTCTGTAAGTTTGAATACAAAAAGTAAAACAGTATTCCACTTATCGTGTTATTGCTGAATGCACGGCGACAGCAATGGCAACGGCAACAACGGCGATGACAGACACAGGTGACAGCTATATGTACAGACTGCGTCTGTACATAAAAATCTAAAATCAATTTCCTTGCACCTCTTTCTGCAGCTGATCTAGTTGTGCCTCCAAGTTGCTGTTTTCTCTCTCCGTAATAGCCAACTTCTTTTGTAGTACTTTAGTATTCTCTTCACTTAAAGCAAGGCTGTTTTTTACATCTGTAACCTCATGCTGAAGTTCTCTGTTCTTTTCCATAATTCGCTGCATGCTTCATGAATAATATAGGCATAAAAGATAATATTACAACAAACAACTCAATAGTAATGACATTCAAATGAACTACAAATAATAAATATTTGTTGGTATAACTCTTCCAAATTTTGATCATTGTGCAATCATAGGTTATGGCATTCAACCTACAAATCACTTACTTCATTTAACTTCCGTTATTGCCAAAAATCCTTTGCATGCTATGGCAGTGTTCTAAAGCTACTTACTTTCTCAACTGCTTCTTTAGTCCTTCCATTTCTTGTGCAGACAATGTGGAAGATTCCTCTGCATTTTCCAACTGCACTTGTAGTTTGATATTTTCATCAGTCAGTTTCTTATTATGATATTGTAGGTCAGCTACCTTATTACTCAATTCCATTATGTCCCTACAATTTTAAGATTATAAAGAATTAATCATTTTGGGAAAACTGCCACTAAAAAAATTTAGCAAAGAAAACTACATGAGGTATAAATTTTCTTAATTTTGTTCAACCTATACCCAATGACTATACAAATGAAAACCCAAGAAATCAAAGTTTTGATGCACACTTCTCATCTCAGAGCAGAGACCAATCAATTACAGACCCAATAGCCGACCTAAAAAAAGAATTCCACCAATCAGGTAATCAATGGATTAAGTGCTTACATACAAAGCACCTATCACATAAACCAATCAAATTTAAGAAACATAGAGGAGGTCGTTAATGTCCGTGCACCTTATAATCAGATTAATCATGGGATCGAGCATAAGTCTGTCTTCACAGCAATCAATTACCAATTACCAGAAAGCAGAAATAACGCTTATAAACACAACAACCTCAGACAAAGTATAGAGAACCACTATTGGCCGAAACCAAGACAACATTAATCTCAAAAGTGGCACACAACGGGACCACCGAAGGCCAAAATACCAAAGCGCCCTTCACCATTGAGCTCCCCACCCGCCTCTAATAACCCTCATTACGAGCAGGTGATGGAAACTAAACAGTACATCGCCGGATGTACAGAGTGGGCGAACCACATAAACAGACAGCTAGAAAGGAGAATGCACAAGGTCAGGGCCAGGGTAGACTTTAAAGGATGCCCTGGCCACGAAGCTCTCTCCACAAAGCTGATTGAGATCCAGGAGGAGGCATCAGAAGCAATAAGGCAAACAATCGAACTCCATATGGAGGAATTCATGAAAAAAGCAAACGATAACGTAGAAGAGGCCCTAGCCCATGAAGCCAAAGAAGAGGACTTCTACAAAACACACGGGACTTATGAGATCAACGCCAGCCCCCAACCTACATCCAATGCCAACCCAGACCTTCTGACGATGAAAGCTAAAAAGAAGAAAATCCTCACATCAACCAAAGTAAAACGGCGTACAGCTGCCACCCTGAAGCGCCTCAAGTGAACCAGCAGTAAAAGTTAAAAACAGCCCTTTTCAGGGCCATACACATGCTCAGGAAAAGCAATACCACATTGTTCAAATGCAGAAATAAATCAACAAGCAGCAAATAAAACCATCCTTTTGTCACATCCCATGGGCAAGAAACCCTCTCTATACTCTGAAAAAAATCATCGCCCTCGGACGAGAAGCCCAAAAGAGATAATAAGCAAAACATGAAAAATTAAGAAGTCGCAGAATGCTCACTCGACGAAAAATTATGCATTTTGCAAGCCACACATGGAGATGAAAGCTAGGAATTTCCAGGGAATTATTTTCCCTATAAAAAGGTCTAATCCGCCTTTAAATGAGACATCCGCATTGTTTGCCTTAAATGACATACTAGCAAAGACTTTTGTTTTTAGATAAATAAATATTTCTTACCATTCATGTGTAGATGCATCTCCAGCACATCCCGAGGCTTCAAGACTACCAAAGCTGATTCCATTGAGATGTTCTAGCACACCTATCACAATCAATATCTCTCTGAGTAATACTGTAAAACTGGACTGTTACTTTATGGGCAAGTCTGAATCTTACAACACAGAACAAACCACGATTTGATGAACTTTGTTTCTTTTTTTTTAATTTTTATTTAATTTTCATATATGTGTAATCTAAAAAAATGTCAACACTTGCAGATGGAAACATATAACTATAAAGGGTAAATTGGCCCCCATTTCACAAAGAATCATAAATCTGTAGTTGACTAGCCTGAGTTAAGCAACCTGGCAAAGTCAACAACCCTGTTACTGACTAAGAGTGTTTCGCAAGGAATCTTAAAGTCCTAACTTGGTTTGGTTATGGTAGTCGACATGAACACTTCAAGAAAAGGAAGTGGAAAATCCCTGAAATTTCACATGACATTTCATGGGTCTTTAGGCTGTCAATGAGTGTTTATCAACAATAAAATAAGATAAAACAAACACATTTTTTGAAAACTTTATTAATTAGTTTACCTTTAATACCAGTTCAAATTTACAGTAAACATTAACTTGTCTTGGAATGGTGCCATTGGCCAAAAAGAATTTAAGGATATTGTCACCCTTTGCCCCAAAATCCTTATTTACTGCCTTACATACATCCTTTTGTGTAATAGATAAAATCTTTAGTGTTCAGTGACTGAATTAATTAACATTTACACATGTCATCTTACAGGTGGCATCATAATTGCAATTTTGGGGTAAAAACTGAAAAATTGGTTCCTCAATTTTCTATTTTACCTGTTTTACTGCTGATTTAATGACACCATTTAGTACTCTAAAACCCTGCCAGCAATTTTTCTTAAAATCCTTAGTTCAGATTTATCGTTGATAAAGCAAAATAATGCCTCTGTTTAATGAAAATCAGTAATTAGGGACTCATAACTCTATAACAAAAACATTTAAACCAATTGATGGCACGAGATTGTACCCTATACACTTGAGATCAACTCTGCCAATTTTCATGTTAAAATCTTGTTCAGGGATGAAGTTCCACCCAATACGGATTGCTATCTCATCTCAAAATAGAAAGGTGTTTAATTGACGGTTAAAGCTTCGAGTAGCCTGTGCTTATACATTGCAATGAGAAATAAAAACACTGATATTTTATATTTTCCAGGGGGTTTTTTATTGTTTTTAATCAGCGTAAAGATAATTGCATTATTTAATAATTAGATACAGGAAATACCTCATTTTCAATATCTGGATGATAATAAAGGGTTACAATACCTTTTACAAACCCAGCAGTCAGCTTAGCAATGTTGCATTTAATTTTTCATTTAAAAATTCAGCAACATTCAAAGATATTATGACAAAATATCTTCAAGAAGATATGTACTATCAAAATTTTGTAAAGTTTTGCTGAGTAACTTAGAGTAAAGGCAGCTTCCAAGGAGGCTTAGGTTGGTCGACTAGCTGCTAAGAAAAAAAAGGGGGTAAGCAGCCCTTAGATTCTCCATGAAATACCACTTAGTCACTTATGGACTTATAATGTTGGTAACCAAGTTCTCAGCCAGGGAACTTGACTTAAATTTTTTTGTGAAACAGGGGCCAGGACAAAAATTGCCTATTTATTTCATACTTTGAACAAGAGTTAAGCACTTACGTTGGTGTGGTGAAGTGTTCACCTGGGGAGAAGAGCACTTTTCGGGTGAAACTGAGATCAACTTACAATTGTCATCATCCACACTGGAATATTCATTAACCATAGATAATCAATATTTATTCACTCACTTCATTGACAATACACAGTCATCTGCCATTGGCTGCTACCCAATGCATAATATGCAGAAATTTTCAAACAGAAATAAATGTAAAAAATTTTACAATCAAAGTCTGTAGATACAACTACTATCTCTTATTGTTTCCCCTTGAATTTCGTTTCAAATCAGATGATTTTCAGAATTAGAAAAAACCTTACCCTGCACTTCTTTCTTTTATCTCTTTAATCCACTGCATCATCCCTTCTCTGTAAACTTCTAATTCAATTGACACATCCTTCCCCTCAGGGTCAAATATCAGAGCCAAATCATCTAAATACTGCTGGCTCTGAAAAGATATAAAAGCAAATTTACCAGCAACATTCCTAATGTGAAGCTAGTTCATTGCTGGTTCTAGGCCAACAAAACTCATTATCAGGCACGTAATTTATATTTATCATCATGCTTGACACTCCATGGATTAGCTTTTAATTATTAAGTAGCAAGAATACTTTCTACACTGACAGTGAGGTGCACTGTTGTAGTCATATGGATTCACTGGAATCGAGAGTTGCTTAGACATAAAAATGAGCATTTATTCAGACCATGGTATATTAATTGTTGCATCTTAAATTAGAGCAATACAAAACTCCGTGTTTATTTCGATTTGCCATGCCTGAATAAAATTAAAATAATAAACAAATGAAGAATTTGATTTCTGACAAATCTTATGACTGGCAGCGGTAAATAGAACTGATAGAACAGTTGAAGTCATTTCAAACTACAGGCCTAGTTGAGCAAGGGAGTTGGACAGCGTGTCATTTTGGGCTACACAGTGGAAGAGGAGAAAAGGAACAGTAATACACCTGGTATGCCATTAACTCTTTGCTGTGCTTTTCTAATAAAATAATATTATCATAATATTCAGCATGTAGGTTAATAAAATAAAATGATATTATGTAAGTAAAATAATCGACCCCACTGAATTCCAGATTGACCCCATTTTTTTAGGCTGTTGGGGTCATTAGTCCCCACTCAGGTCAACCCTGTACAGAACACTGCAAAAATTCAGAATTAACCAGAAGACCCACCTCTGCACTCAAGCTCCCTGTTGTGGACTTCAGCATCTCAATAAGTGTAGACACAGGCACCGTACCAGTTTTATTTGTATCACACATGTCAAACATAGTGTCAACTATATCCTCTTCAGTTATCAACCTGCTGACATTTGTGCCAGTACTGCTGGTGTCTTCATCTGAGAAAAAGCATGCACTGTACTCAAACCTATTGCTGTTGTTCAACAGTTGGCTCAGAGACTCCCTTGATGCAGATTCTTCAGCCATGCTTTCAGAATTCACAAAGTCCCTGATTTGTGCTCTTGGTGATATAATGTTATCTATAGAGTAAGAGCTAGTATTTGCAGACACTGTTCGAAGTTCCGATCTAATGCACTAAATCACTGGTCTTAAATTACTAAACAAGTTGCTTTTACCAAATTTCACACCAACAAGTGCTGGGTTACATTTTAATTCACACCAATGTAAAGGGTTGTCTGTCAGTTATATCTATATATCACCAGAAGGTACACTCCAATTAAGTTGTTGTCCATATGATGTTATGCCAAGATGAAATTGCTTGAATAAGTACAATGAGCTGTGAATCATGTGCCTCAAGTTGATAGTGAAAACTAGAAAGTGAATAGTTCCCTTGTGATTCCTTTTCAGCAACAAAATGAAATTGAATGTTCTCGAGTTCTAAAAATTAAAAAAAGATTTTGGCAGTTGCATATACCTTAATACAAATATGTATGAACATGTAAATAATGGTTAAATGCCATCAAATACATCTATAAAAACTTGTTTACACATTTTCTAACACATTTCAAGACCTTTTACCTGTCCTGGGCATTAGTTGTACAGGTTTGTAAAATGCATGGCATCCAACACAGTAATCCTTGACTTTACCAATTGAAAATAAGTAAAACCATGTCACGTTAGGAATCACCACCGTCCAAGCAAATCATATTTGTAAATGGGACCCCATTCCTATAGACACCATTGATCTTTGTAGATCAACCCAACTCTGTGAGGACTTTTGGTAAGTGCAATCAGCTTAAATGAATGACACGCCTCCTCTCGTTTCCAATGTACTTCCATATAATAACCAGCTTTTCTGTATTCTACCTAATGCCAGGAAGGGAAGGGTCATTCAATTAAGCTAATTGCAGTCAGCAACAGTCCCTGCAGAGTTGGGTCGATCCACATAGACTGATGGTGTTACGGGAATGGGGCCTAGATGCTGAATTTGTCCACAGTGATGTGCAGTTAATTGCACAAATTCCTATGTAGACCATGGTTGTTGCTTCACATCATGAAAAAGGGCTCAGAAAACTAAGACTGAGATTTATAATAGCTGCCTTATCTAAGACAACTACTGAACCATACAAGAAAGCAAGATCAATGTAAACTGAATAAAATCAATTTCTTTTAACTTACTTTTGTTGTGCACCTACACATAAAGTATTTACTTTATAGTTGAACATCTTGAAACATCTGTACCATGGCAAGCAAAACAGTTCACACAAATATAACAGATAAAAACGACTTAATAATAGTGAGCTCCTGTTCTACACTTGTATATTCATTATAGATGCATGTTAATACCAATCCATATGTATTGTCATGAACCTTTTATGATGCAAACCACTATATTGTATAATGGTGCACTTATCAGCCTGTTTACATATATCATCCTTCTAGAACATTTTATAAATTTATGTTGACAAATAATACTTCACTACAAACATTATTTATTATGCGCAAATACCATTTTGAATGAGAATCATCAGAGACAGACAAATGGCTTGCAATTAGCAAAAAATCAAGCCAGATTTCACAGAATTTGGAGGAGAGTGGAGAAATAATAGAAGATTGCAGACTGAAAGAGTTCAGTGCATCAATGAATGAAAGCCAACAGAACAAGAGATTATTGCAGAAAAAAAAGAAAAAACTTTTAAAAAACAATCGCCTAACTTTGTATGTTGGAACAGAATCATTAGCTATTGGAAAGTGTAGTAAAATTATCATTTACCTCAGGAAATCCTTTTTATGGCACTTTTTTCCCTAAAGTTATTCTCACACATTTCATATTCTCATATGACTTCATTCAGTGTCGAAGGTCTTGTTTTAGGCTATCTCCAAAGATTCTCATTCCCTGCTGTACAAATTCCTTTTCAGTTTCCTATGAAATCCTCTACACGTTTTCCCTGTAGAATCCTACCTATAAGTCGGTTGAAAATAATATCAGCAAACGTACACAATCCCTTTCTAATTTTATGGAAATCCTGAGAGACAGACGGAGTAAAGCCATGCTAATATGGTGTATTACACACAGCCTACAACTGATAGATAGATCATGACTCATAAAGCATATTTGTAAAGCCAAATAGCTTTATTTCTCAGCCAGATCCAAATTTTGAATCAAAACAATGACATACTGATGAAACAAGCACAGATACAATATCTTTTTTTTCTCAACCAAACAGGTTTTCTAACTTGATAAAAATGCCTTCATGAGCCCAGCTATTGCTGTTATTGGTATCTAATAGCTACTTAAAACCGCAAATTACATTAATGATAAAATGGATTCATATTGATTTATTTCTAAGATGAAAAGAAGCATTAACAACAAGGAGAGAAACTAAAATTTCTACCTACGGTGCATGAAACTTGTGGGGGATGTTCTTAATGTAAATTTACTTCCTACTTACATTAAGTCATTACATGTGTGGCATTTCAAATTAATGCATTTACCTAAAATAAATAATAAAGTAATAATGGCCCATGTATGGACCCAAGATTTTTTTCTGTATATTCCTATTTTTTATAAGTAGTCTGTGCCAAAGAGTACATCCCAAAGAGGTACATGTAATATAGGTCAATATACTGATATTTATTTCCCCCAACCCTGAATATGACCCATTAAACAAAACATTAATCATTATCCATAAAACATATATGATACTGCAACATAAATGTCGATGCTAAATATTTTAGCTTGTCCAGAAAAAGGATCTACCTCCTTTGATTAATGATATTTCATCAAAGGACAGAGTAACTCATGATTTTTCTTTCCAACGTTTCTTGATACAAAAAAAATTGCTTAGGATTTCTTAAATCTGTTAACAAAGACAAACGTATATGAATGTTGAAAAATTGTCTCTCATATTCATCATGACACGATGCCCCTGCTTGTTATAGCCTTATTTTAAAAGTCAATATATCTGTTGTAAGCAAAAATTGTTCAAGCAGTTTAAATCTACATCCCTCACATTTCAACAAGGACCAAAATAAAGGATTCCTAACTGCCTTTAACTTACAGACCTTCTTGACTTGCGTGACACCGGCTGATCTAAATTTCCCGCATACCATCATCTGCAAAAAAAAAGGGGCAAGTTCATCCCGGTATTTTAAAAGGTTGTAACATAACTAAAGATATTAAATGGAATATTTGGTATAACGGCATTCGCAAACCTTTCATTTTCATTTCAAACTGATGTTAAACTGTAACAGTTATACATAGCCAGTATGCATGCATGCGAGAAAAAAAGGCAAGAACTGAAGAGCAGCTACTATTGTACAACCTACCGCCCCCATTTTCTTTGAAAGACCCACACTTCACGAGATAGTATGTAACGCGCGCACACAGTCACAAAAACCATTTGTTGCGCTCATTATGTGATTGGTTGCATGATTTGTAGAATCTATGATGTGTTATATTTAAAAAATCTGTGCACAAAATTGAAAAAGATGCTTCGAACTAAATAATGATGCTAAAGCAAAAAATGAGTGTTCGCAGACTGGTGTTCGTAACTTTCTGGCGCCGTGTGTGTGAAGTATTACTCACGCATAACAGCTGTGGTAGTTGAGACAAATACGGCAAACACACTCAGTCGCATCTCCTTACATGACGGGCACTAAATCCGTTTATATAAACGCTGCACTCCAAGTTCACTTGTTTCTATCGTATTGTAGGCAATATATATTAAAGATGCAAAATGTAAGCAGTGTGTTGGTAACTCAATTTCATCGTAAGATTTATGAAAGAGGGTTTCATAGGGTAGCCTTATTTTCGTTCCCCTGAAAGCCACTTTTTATTATCCGAGATGATTAAAACGTTTATATTATTAAGCCTGATCCTTGAAGCACCCCGTTTCTGAGAATTTGAATGCAACTTTTGACCTTTTGCCCTACTTGCAACAAAATCATTCTGTGATTCATTATTTTCAACTTGCATTACCAAGGCAATGGCGGATTTAAAAGGGGTTGGGGGTCAGGGGTTATGATAATTTTAATATACCTGCATCTTAGAAATACTAGAGTCAATGCTCATGTTGATTTATGGGGTTTATTTTTCATAAGTATATGGATTTATAGGGTTTTGTAATTGTTTTTACATAAACTTTTATTTTTTGAATCTATTTATTTATTTTTCTTCAATTTTGCAAGTGTAGGCTACATAACTTAGGCCCATTACAGCAGAGTGTGCTAAGCACCAGTGGTATCACTTGGTTGATAGGTCCTACCCCTGCTTTTCTTGCAGTGATCAGAATGCACAGAAAATGACTGCAAATGGCCAGGAACTATCTTTTTATGCATTCATTTTATTCCCCAGAAAATGTTATTCCAATGTAAAAGAATGGATTATTCTAAATTAATATTAATTCCGTGTTCCGAATCGGAAGAACTAAGAAAAAAGTCAAGTCAGTGTTTGGACTAAAATCTCATTCTACCAGTCTGAATGCTCGCATTTTTAAAGCCTATCACAAGACAGACTGGACATTAATTCTCTCACTAAAATCTCATTATATTCGTCTAAACTAAAATCTAGCTACTGATTGTACACCCAACGTTTTCATCAAATAAAAAATACTTTCTGTAACAATTAAGGTGTGTAACTGATTGATCGAATTATCGATTCCATCTCAAATTCCATATTTTTTATCAAACAGAATATTCTTTCTGAAGCGTTATGCCCTTATTTCACCAGTTAGCCTCCAGGGAACTGCCCCTCATTACCTATCAAGATAGTTCTGTTACTTCTGTTTAAAATCAGTGAATACCAGCATAGGCCTACATGTATGACATCTTTTTGTAATAAGTGTTTGACTTCCACTATCGTGAAAGAAAAAATATAACAAGTGCATATTACACGTATGACTTTTAAATTCTGCTCCCATTTGTCACACAGGGTATAAAAAGTCTAAACACTCATGAGCATTACTCAATGAACTATTTAATAGTCATTGCTAATATAAAGCACAAAGGTTTTCTCTTTTTAAAATATTTTTTTCTGTGATTTTCAGAATTTTCCAATCCATGTAAAAGTAAATAAAAATATTACCACAAACTGTGTAGTAAGTGCAGTATTTGGGAGATGTATATTTTTATAGGAAAAGATTTTTGCGAATCTCATATTTTTTCTATTTTCACACCTTCTTGTCCTGAATACCATGATCTTCTCAATAAGAAAATACCAGTAGAAAGATAGGGAACCTATTTTTCTACAGACGAAAAGAACAAATGTGAGCTTATATGAGATAAACCGGCATCTTGTTTGTTACATGCGATATAGGGCAATCACATTTTTTCATTACACTGCATAAGGCAATGAACATCTTTTTATGTTGTTTTACGTTGGTTTCATTCATTTTGCCTCTTTGGTGTCATCTTTTTTTACTGCGTCAGTTGATATCGGCACATTGGTGTTCAGGTCACAGACATATATAACTAATATAAGTGTGAAAAATGTGTTGTGATTGGGATGATATTCAGTTCTTGGGGAAGATCTCTACGTACTAATTATATAAACAGTGTATGACTGATTGCCGGTCATGATTTTATTACACAAAATTTCAGTGAGATTTCCTGGGAAAGTGTTGTTTTATTTGAATTGGTCTAGATAGCTGATTGAAAAAACATTAAGAAAGCAAGCGGGATGGCGGAGCGGTTACTTATCGGTTTTATACAGGTTGCATCAGAGAAAATGTATTTCCAAATAAATAGTAAAGCTTTTTAGCTCGCTAACATTTTAAAATGTACTCGTGCACGTAAACTAGCTACCACACCCGTATAAATAAACAATGCTTTGTTCTGTTAAAAAGGTTAATACCAAATACATGTACCTAGTACATGTTGTAACCATGAGCTCTCGACATGTTTATGTCTAATCATCTCTAAACAAATTTTTATCATTTTACCGCGAATTTGTATGTTTACATTTTTCTGTTCAGAATATTTTTTATCAAAATGGCCTTATACGCCGTTCTAAAATCACATCTGGTTTATTTACATTCACAGACAAATATTTTATTCAGGTTATACCAAATAAAAAGAGACAAACCAGGGTCTGCACGGTATTCTTGACAGTTTCTACATGGTTTAACCTTCAAGGTTTAACAGTGTCTCCGGGCCTCATGACCCCGGGTATTGTGTTTATAGAAGCAATCGTTATCAATCTATGCTAAGTATTGTTTAAGAATGACAAGAGCAAATAGTTTTACAAATGTATAGATTTTTATCGCAAATCATAATTTACGCCTGTTTCTTTGGACCTGATCCTGTGCATCTGAATTAGGTGTCACATACCTGTAAGAACTAAACTGAGCCACTTAGTGATGTTTGTCATTTTAAAAGGTGGTCTTTGAAAATTATAGGGAGACCACCTACTAAATGAGTCGCTAGAAATTAAAAAAGATATTTATTCTATAAAGGACTAGATATCTTATAAAGCCAAATCTAACACTACTTTCTATTGTTATATTCACTTATAGCTATTTAATGACTTTCCCTTATTAATAAGCTTTTTGTAGCAGGAGTGGGTTAGGCCCAGAAACGTACCATCCACTGGCACACGTGTTTTTCACGCTCCTCCCCCAAATTTACCACGGACCGTCGCTAAGGGGGGTTAAAGTAGGAAGTCCCAACTCCCCTCGAGGCACGTTTTCGTGTAATTGAAGAAAGAAAAGACAGAATAGGTTCGGTCAATCTTCATTTACGACCTGGGCCATTCAGGTGACAAAAGGAGGATACTTCGCAAGGCGATCAAATCAACACCATAGTCTGACAGTGATCTCAGGTACAACACCCCAACCAAGATTAAGGCAGACACGGCAGGCAACACCAGAAGACGTGCGAACCCCAGTGGCGACACAACTCCTGCATCCTCCGTTTTTTTTTATATCAGGATTCAAAGTTACCACACTGACAAAGTGTCATCAAACCTCTCAGCTGCATCATCAAGAAGATTTCCTTCTTAGAAAGAGTATTTAGAAATACACGAGCTGAACTGGAACCAACCATAGGTGTTCAGAAAAATATTTTAAGACACTGAAACATTTTATATTTTGAAAATGACCACAGGAACAGATGAGAAGACCAGGGATAGTGAACAGCAAGAAACTTGCAGCCAAGTTAAGGTCACTCTTCAAGACAAAGAGCTCTGGTCAAAATTTAAGACATTGACCAACGAAATGATTGTCACTAAAACTGGAAGGTAACTTTAACACCCACTTGACGAATTTTTATGCTTTGTGTCTTTGCTTCCTGTAAGCATCGATAAAGTGAGAAAATCGTTCATAAGATAGCCTTTTCGAACTGAAGTTTATATAAATATGCACATTTTGTTTTTAATTCATTATTTACAATCATTGTTTTAAAACGTGTATGTTGTTATTTTTACAAGGCGAATGTTCCCAGTATTAAAGGTAAAAATCAGCGGACTCGATCCAGATTGCATGTATTCTCTCCTGGTCGACTTCATCCAAATGGATAAAACACGCTGGAAATATGTGAATGGGGACTGGGTCCCTGGGGGAAAGGCTGAGGCCCCAGCTCCAGATTGTGTGTACACCCATCCAGATTCCCCAAACTTTGGGGAACACTGGATGAAACAGCCTGTTACGTTTGACAAGATCAAACTGACTAATAAGATGAATGGTCAAGCACAGGTATTATTATTATTATTATTATTATTATTATTATTATTATTATGCAACCGATCTCTAATGTAAATATTACTTATGATTTTATCAATACTTTATTTTCATTTAATTGAATTTATTTTGATTTATTTCATTCATAACATATTCTTTATCCCTTATTTATAGTTCAACAATTTATTCTTCCAAACCATAACAAATTTCAAATATTTGTAATAAGAATAGAAATATTCGGACGGCCAAGTTATATCGCTTAAGTACTAATTTTGTCATTTAGAGTCTTACAATTATTTTTGAAAAAAGTATCATGATTATTTTTATTATTAAAAACTCTGATATCAAGGGGTGTGATAATGAAATATTTCATATATGTACATTCTAAAATATTTTTGTCGATCCTTGAAGTACTTTAGTTCTTAATTTACGATCTTTTTCATACGTCTCCAATACTTTGCCATCCTGTGATTATCTTACTTGGCGATAAGTAACGAGGACAGGGCAGGTTATCAAACAGTCCAAACACACCAAACATAATATATGCTTTTTTAGATAAAAAACGGGAACGTTTTTTCCTTAAAGGTTTGTCATTATCGTGTAACTTTTTATTCTTTCTAAACTAACTAAGCAACTTTTTACAAATCCAGATAATGCTGCATTCGTTGCATAAATACGAACCAAGGATTCACTTAGTGAAGGTTGGAAGTCGCAACGAAAGAAAAAGTATGTCGACATTCAGTTTCCAAGAAACGCAGTTCATAGCAGTCACAGCATATCAAAACGAAGAGGTAAATGCATATTCTTTGTTTCTTTCGAAATAATAAATACATTACGTAATCTTTCATTAAAATTTCAATTATATCTTTAAATTGATAAACGAAAAGTTTGAAAGAAAACAAAACGATGGAAAGACTCTTAAAATCATTTTCTTTGATGACATGACAATTTTTGTGGGTAATGAATCGTTGTTTTCAAAATAAAAGGGTGGTAGCCTCCAACGAACATGACGACGTCTTTTTCCTAAAAGAAATACGATATTTACATTTTTAACTTGAATATATTTCCCGACTTCTCTTCATTTAAATTTTATCCATTCATTCTCTTGTAATTCAAAACAAATATATTTAGATTCATGTACTGAACTAAATGAAAAAGCTATCATAACCATTTTCATCTTACAAAATTCAAAAATTCAAGACCCCCCCCGTAAATCTCGATTAATTGTGATCCTTTTTGCCCTTTTTATAGATCACATCATTGAAGATCAAGTATAACCCATTTGCCAAAGCCTTCCAGGATATCAAAGAAGCCGCCAAGTAAGTTGTTGGTCACTATTTCATTTCGTGTATTCGTTTCTTTATTTTTCTTGTAAGGACTTCTCCGACTTGAGATATTGCTGATAATGATCATCATATTTCTTGACTCAAGTACAAAATAAAATGGATCTCCAGCGATCAAATTTCTTTAGACAACTTCGAAATTTCCGATTCATTTGTACTTTGAATAATGGCAGACTGGATGATATTTTTTTTAATATACGTGTTAATGATATTTCACAACAGTAAAAAACGTTACATCAACGTTACAACAGCTCCACTGCATTTAATTTATGTATTAAAAACATTTGTTTTTTGGAAGCGTGTCTGTATTTAGCTGAAGGTATTGGAATCTTTTCGGGGTGGTCTGCATTTACATTCTACCTACCTGTACAGGTCTTACGGTGACCACGAACTAAAAACAGCACATTTTGCGAATTTCTTTGCCACTTAAAATATTTGTATTTGTTGATCTAACGAGTCGTGAAATTACTTTGTAATCAGGTAAAGAGATCTTCACCATTGTGATCCTGTAAAGCACGCAAATAATGGAAACTAGTTAACGACAAACCGTAAAGCTGATTACGCGTTGATTAGCAGGTGTGCAGAGGTGTCTTAAGCTATTTGCGGGTCCTCGTTGTACGCTCATTGAGCGCTAAACATCAAAAGTTAGCCAGAGATAGCAACGCGTGACAACTTCTATACATTTGTGACTTAGATAGCGGAGGTTGTCAACAAGCGGAGAAATACCCAATTGCGCGCATTGTATCGATCGTCTTTTATGAGGTTGTATTGGGTATGGAATGTAGAAGTAATTCGTTAAAGACTTTACCGCTTTTAAAGAAAGAGCGATATTGAAGGTATGTTTCTTGAAGAATACCGCGAAAATCGCACACGGATGCGAATTATGCGATGAGTACTGTTGTTCAATATTTAAAAAAAGCACTTATTTATTGTAACTATGTCAGTTAGAGATATGCCAAAAATATTAAATGGCCATATAACAAACTTGATATGAAAACTGAATAAGTTAAAACTGATATAAAAATAATACCGCACGATAAATAGTCTTATGTCTGATATGGTATCAAATAAATAAAATAAAATAAATAAGATATCACATGAAATTGAGGCGCTTGATTTTTAGATGGAAAAACGAGGATTGTTAAAATTGCCTTTTAGCTTTAATTTAAAGTTAATATTAGAATATGAAACGCAGTATTATATTTTAACATATAATATCATTCTTTGAATTTTTCGTATTAAACGGTGTTTAGTCGTTTGAAATAAAAAAATGTAAATAAAGCACGTACTGATGTAATGATATTAATATATGTTAGAAATACCGTGCAAAATCTTTTAAGTTTTAGGCAGAAATCAAAACAAAATTTGATTAAACGAAGAAACTTATCAAAAGTTAAATTGATTCTTGATTTTAAATTAATTTATGCGAAAATTGTCTCACATGAATCTGGCATTGTCAGTTATTAGGAATTACGGATAATTTTAAATTTGTCTAATATGAAAAACGATATAACAATTTTATCTTCTTTATATATTCTTGCCAGATATTCAGGCTTTTAAAAGGAATTTACTGTTAGAGTCCTTTAAGTGTTTATCAGTGTTTAGTAGACGACACGGGAGACATTTGGAATTTTGTCATTAGCGAAAAACGGTCGTAGATTTTTCGAAGAATGGAAAGATTGAAATGTAAAGTTGTGTATTCATGGCGCATTTTATAAACCATTATAACATTATACTACGTTTTAAACATAACATTGGTTAGATCATTCGTGGAGGCCCTTTCTCGCGAAATGACCGATTTTTTTAAAATGTATGTAAAGATTTTTTAATTTTGAACGCATGGAAATGTACAGGTGGCATTGTAACTTCATGTTATCGTGGAACCCTTCTATGAACATTTTGTAGTCTGTTTATCTTAAACCATTAAAACTTTCTTAATTCAAAGACTTACTTTTTCAGAAGTACCAATTCCTTAGATGGACAGGATAGCAACCGCCATGGTTCCCCAACACAAAACAGTAAGTAATTCTTACCGTGATTTTTAATGAAATAATGCAATGCTGTATAGCCTTCATTTAAATATGTTGCAAATCTTGTGAAGCATATTATATGTGCCGTCAATGAACATTTAAAAACACCAAAAACGTACCTTGCAACAGACGGATTCGTTATTGGACACCGAAGAAAGTATTTTATTTTTCTGTAGAAAGTTGACAAAGGTTTAACCGTCTCTTTATGTCTCAGACATACGTTTTAAGAAATATGAAAAGTTGGTAAAGTTTCGGTGTTTATTTCCCACTTCATAATTAATGTTTCGGATGTTTACATTTTTAGAATGATTTATGAAAACAAAATACACATATGGCTTTTTGCATAAGGTTTTGATGTTTGATGTAGATTCTTTAGTTTGACAAAGATATCTAAAGACATTGTGTATATCAAACACGTTAGACATCTTCGCGTCACGCGGTTCTTTATAGTTTTTATATTATCGTCATAAATGGAAAGCAGGTTTTGGAGCTGCAACTTTTTTTTTATTTACCAAAAACTTCCCCACAATGGCGTTTTTGCCTCTCTCTTCGTGAAAAAAAACATAGTGATGATACAATCAGTATCTTATGTCATAAGTTTGCTAGGGACGATTTTTTAAACAATTAGAATTCATTTGGTGCTCAAAAAGTTTATTCAGACGAGATGCATTTATTTGATTTATAAAATACATTTTGGAATTATTTTAGTTTTCCCCTGATACAGAGGAAAAAAATGCGACGATTTAATCGATATATATATATATATATATATATATATATATATATATATATATATATATATATAATTATTTCAATCATGTAATTTCACATTTTGTATTTTGAACTTTAATCATGGAAAAGAGAGTTACAACGATAATAAATGTGTAATAATATATAAAATATCAAAATTAGATAAAATACAGATATGAAGAACCTTTTGACGAATAGAATTAATATACCTGCATCTGAAACAACAACAAAAAGTTTATACTTGTTAGTTAATTGCGAATCCTTGTTGTTTAGAATGCAATGAGTGAAGTGAAAAGTTCCAGAAGAAGAAGTATAAGTCTCTGGTAGAGCTTGGACATAATAACGTAACTTTGTCCATGGTTAGAGCGAGCGTCATGAACGACCAAGACAACGGCAAAGATTCTTTGTAAGAAGTTGTAAACAGTGAAAAGATTAAAGAATGGGTATTGTAATTTCTTGCCTGCCTTGTTTTTGTTGTGAATTTCTCTGACGCCACCCCGAAACCCAACGCTGTGTGTGTTAACAAACAGCGATTGAAGTGGTGGCCTTCGAACGGATGGGACCAATTCTTTCGTTCACGTAGATATACAAAATATTCGCTGTTTCATTAGTGATTGGACCGTTAATTTTATGTAATAACGTAAAGTAAATTATTCCAAAATATACGCAAATATGAAGCAAATCACAGCTCTCTATTTAGACGGCTCGTATAGTCAACACCAGTATGTGCAAACCAGCGGGCTACATTCGTGGTTTATTGTTAGTATATTATTTTTGACTTTTTCCGGGGGTCCATTCCATTTTCATCTATTACAGACCGCACAGAGTAAAGTTATACAATTGCTGTTTATTTGTGAATTTTGCGCCTTGACTTTAGTCCAGTTGTTGATTTTTCTGTATCTGGGATAAATTAACAAGATTCGTTATCCAGGAGAGACATTACGTCACACTGGTCAATAAAACATTAAAGCTTGTGACAGGCACACTGACCGTGTTTCCTAAACACACAATGGTCAGACAAAAGCGGGGGTCAATAGTAACATTTTACTTCACACACACGCTCAGTTTCCAGGTTCTGTGTTTTCCGATCATAAACCGCAACACAGTTGTTCTGTTGACCAATTTGACTGACTTGTAGACTTAGCAATCTTTGCACAGGGCGACGAATGAACACGAATGTGTGAAGTACATAGAAAACGCACGTTCGAAACACCTGTGAAAACTTAGTCATAACGAAGTCCGATAAAAGCTGATGGGCCGATGAAATGAATTTGCCTGCCTAAACAAATTCCCCGCCACATTTCAGGTGTGTGTACGCTGCGTCTTATCTTTCAGGGACTAAATTCGTCACGTAATCGCAAAGACTGATTAAGATAAAGTTGATTATTATTCACATCAATAGCAGGCAATTGGCGAACAGATGTGAGAACCCTAACGCACTTATGTATGATTTGGAGGTTAAATCAAGCAGACTCTTTGGAGAAGTGAGAGAAGCAAATGTTGACGATTTCTTAATCAAATAACGGAATGGAGAGGGTGGATCATGCAACGCGGCAACCCCGCTCTGCCTATGTCATGCTCTGCTCACCTGTGTGCCCCCTTACACCTGAACAGGAAATAACGCTGCTGCACAAACAAAACAGTTTTCTTTCCTTTGTTTACAAAATCGCAAAGGTGATGAAGATATACAAACAGTGCAACAGATATATTCTTCATTGCATGTAAATTCAAAACTTGCTTCACACGCACTCAATTGGATTTCAGCATTGCTTAAATAGATTACCGGTATGTTTAAAAAACAAAGCTTATGAAAAACGGATTTGTAGAATTTATGTGATTCGAGATCGTGGGACCGGATTAAGTTTTATTTGGTTACTTGAGGCCTTTTTCATCTTATCGCATTGGAATTTTGATATTATGTTTATTATTTTTTATTATGATATACATGTATAATTTATTCAAAGGAAACCAAATTGTTATATTTCTAACTTCAGTTACCAGCACGTGGTCACTACCCACTTCCACAGCAGGTATCATGTCACCACCCAGAGCACACTTTCCCGCGCTGGGAATGTTAGAAGACCGTCTGCAAACTTTGCGAAATCAAAACAGATTTAGCCCCTACCAGAGGAGACCACACGCCCATGGTAAAAGAAAAATTCTTTCATAATTAATCGTGCAAGTCTTTTTTGACATTTAAATCTAAAGTCAAGCCAGAGTGAACTGTAGATTATTTGATAAAGATAGCTTTATCCGCAATTCATAGGTGTTCAAAATTTGGGCTAGTGTTAGATTAAAAATAATATTAAGTAATTAATAAAAAATAGAAAAGAAAATTAGGACCACGTGTTACAGATATCATGTGATAAAATTATTTTTATGTGAATAGAACCAAGACGATGGTACCGATTTCTTTTGCAGGTCTTCCTACACACGTGGACCTGACTTCCAGTTCTATGCCAGTCTTCAACTTCCCTGATGCTTGGGGGTCTGCACCAACCCCAGCGGCGTGCTTCGGCCGAACTCCCACACAGCCGCCATCACACCAGCCCTCATATCCACTGTGGGCAGCGATGGGAAACTTTTCTCCGCCATCGAACTGCGCCATGGCCCAGTACTTCCACAACCCCCAGAACTATGCGCCCATCTCCCAGATTTCACCCGCCACTCAGGCTCTCTCAAACGCCACAGGCACTATGGACATGTCAGCGTCATCTCGCCTACCGACTCAGAATTTAAACCCTCAGAAAATAGGTAGTCATAGTAACATGATAAAAACAACAAATTATAGCGGGCATGATGCCCAGGCAGAATGGGCGATGACGTTTCAGGGGATCACTGCTGCAGCTGCGTCCAGCGAACCGAAGAGGCCGCTCTGGGAGACTCTACATGTCCTTCCGCAACTCTGACTCCGAGGTTGACAAAATTACCGAGCTCATTTTTCATTTATTTCATAGAGATAGACTCAATATTTTAGCATAAACTAAACACAGTGATAATACTCAGGGGTATTTTTGTGATATTTTAAAAAAAGTTTGGTAGGCTTACCTCATGCTTTAATATACTAATGATAAAACTGTGAATGGCCGGCAACTAAAGACTTCGTCGTGCAACATTTAATAGGCTTGTGGGTTTAACAAGCTCACGAGTAATTAGTTTAAAGATCTTTCATGCTTCATATGAATTTTTAGCTGACATTGAATTATCTTTCATTAAAAGTGACAAATACCATTTCTTAAGACAGAATATAGAGCAAAAATTCTCTATTTGTACAAGAATGTATATATATATATTAAATATAACGTAAAATAGTATCAAATATTGCAACTTTGTGGATTATGGATCGAATCGTGTCTTACATTGAAATTTTAGCAATAATCCCCAAAGGTAAACACAAATTAAAAAGAAGTGTGGTTGGCTAATTATATTTTCTGTTCATAATAATATGGTAAGTAATAAAAACACCTACAGGGTTGCTACAGACCTACGCGTTTGAAAATGTCAGAAAGTCCTATTTCTTATTATATTGCAATGCTATCTTTCCCAATTCAGACCATAAATACGATAAAATCCCTCAATTATAATTATAAACCTGATATATATATTTCTTTTTAAAATGTCAGAAGGACATATGCATAACGTTTAGAACTTAATTATTTCATTAGATGACAGGCCCGTAGCCCGGGGGGGGGGTTCGAAAGAAACCCCCTTTTGCCGGGAAAACGTCCCCTCTGTGTAAAATTTTATCTAGGTACACGACGATTTCACGGTAAAAGGTCCACATTTTCAGAAAAAAGAACACCCCATTTTAAATTGTTGGCTACGGGCTTGGATGAGAGATGGTGTAAAACATCGAATCCAAGCGAATCAAATCCAAGGTCTGGCAACGATTTGTGAGTGGGAGAAAATGGCTTATTTCTTGGGGGATATTACATTTGGCGCGAAAATCAATTAATTTGTTGAAAAACTGCATAACCTTATATAAAATTAACGTGTAGATGACGATTATGTGAGAAAGTGTTAAGGAAATGCAACAGGTGAAAATAACGCGAGCTGATAACGTACCAGCGACCTTAGCGAATATTATCTGTGCAGCTACCGCAATCTCTCATGTCTGCATTTACATTTGGATAACTTCACAAATAAAATCAAATTTGATAAATATTAATTTCATGTCAACCCACTGAACTTTATTTGACTTATTATTTGTTATTCATTGATTGTTAAATAATAATTTCAAATTGTTCACTAAAGTTTCACACCACCAACAATATTTGAAAATGACAAAGAAAGGGTTTTTAAAGAGAACTAAAAACGGAATATTACTTTTTTATGCAATGCAGTGTAAACGGACATGAAACTAAGTGTTGAAACTAAAGAAATGTAAATATAAATTAGATCTTTTAATTTCGCAGATTAAAGGAAATTAATGTAAAATTATAAAATGTAATATAAGGCAGCAAAGCTGTCAAATGTACAGACAAAAATCAGAAAATAATAATGCACAAATGCAAAGTCAACATTACATTGTAATTATGCACAACAGGTAACACCGATGAAAATAAAAGCATAAAGCTTCAGGCTCATGACAGTTCAAGTTCACACTTGGAAAATGCCAGAATGAGAAAATTGAAAATTTCACACACACACACACACACACACACACACACAAAAAATAAATAAAATAAATAAATAAAAATAAATTTAAAAAAATAATAATAATGAAATAAATAAAAAAATTAAATTAAAAAAAAATAATAATAAATGCATAAATTCAAAACATGATTATCTAACAGAGCTGGTTTTCTAATTTGAGCTGTATGTCAATCCTAAGAATCATTCTTGTAAGTTCAAAAATAATAAGTAACAGTTTTCTTTTCATAACGTTTGAGGTGGCATGGCACGAAGTAGGTTTTTTTTATCAATGTTGATGCAATATTACATAATGATTAACTGTATAATAACCACCAATTTTTAATTATCTACTATTAATAACGTGGACATTAAGAAAACTTGATTGCCACTGGGATTAATGCCCTTGGGAGCTCCAAGTCCCACATTGAAAATGTCAATCTGTGAAAGATAAAAATTTCACAAAAATGTGGTATAAAAAAAAAACCAAAAAAAAAAAATTAACCAATAATACAGATTTTCTAACTCAAGCTGCATTTTAGTCCTACATTTCTTTCCTGTAAGTTAAAAAAATGACATTGTTTTTCTTTAATGGTCACTGTGGAGGCAGTGCCCAAAATAGGGTTTTCTTCAATTTAATGCAATATTACATAATGCTATAAGCATAATGACCAGCAATTTTTAATAATAAAAGTATCATGAATGTTCAGAAACAATGGAAGTTCAAAGTCACACCTTGAAAATGTTGACATGTGAAAAATTAATTACTTCTAACAAAAAACTACATAATTTCCAGAAAAGTTAACTAATTAGACAGGTTTTCCAATTGAAGCTGTATTTTAGTTGTTTGTTACTTTTCTGTAAGTTTGAGAAGAGTAAGTGACATGGTTTTCCTTTAATGGTCACTATGGAGGCAGTGTCCAAAATAGGGTTTTCTTCATTTTTGATGCAATATTACATAATGCTTAACAGCAAAATGTCCATAAATTTTTAATAATAAAATAAAAGTATTATGGACATTCAGAAAATGTGACAAGCAAAAGTCTTCAAGACCATGGAAGTCCAGAGTCACACCAAAGAGATACAAACAAGAGATAACTGTACTGAAACTTTTATTTCCATTTTCAACACCTTTTTTACATTAAACAAAATAATCACATACTGACATTTTATATGATAAACTAAGAAAATTGCTGACATAAGAAAAATATCAATAAAACAATTTTCAATGTCCAATTTGCTCCATTCTGAGCTTCTGAACACAGTAAATGAATCTGACATACTGAAATAATATGAGTTTATTTCCTTTTTTGACACTTTATTTCAAAATACACAATAAGTTTTACCATCATTTTTATATAATCTATTAACAATATTGTTAAGATGCAGAAAATGTCAAAAGAACACTTTTTACGCATCCAATTAGTTAAAAAATGAGACTGTTAACATGCCTAAGAATTAAATGAGGAAAAATCACTTAAATTAAAAAAAAAGGGCATAACTTCAAAACTTGAAAGATCAAGCTTATTTTTGAAATTGATCTGTATACTAGTAATATTGATCACTCCTGTGAGCTGCAAGACAATAGGCCGATCGGTTTTCCTTGAAATGTGTTATCAGTGTATCATATAAGCTGAAAAAAAACCCAGCATAACTTTTGTAAAAATGCTCCAATCAAGCTGATTATCGGTTTTCCTTGAAATGTGTTATCAGTGTTGTATATATGCTGAAAAAAGCCAAGAAAAAAAAAAAAAAAAGATAACCTTTGAAAAAATGGCCCGATCATGCTGATTTTCAAACTTAATCAGTTCTGTAAGTTTCAAGCCAAAACGTAAAATGTTTTACCACTTATCGTGTTATCAGTGTTGCATATATGCTGGAAAAAAAAAAAAAACTTTTGAACTCGACTTGTGTATCATGAATATTAATCAGTTCTGTAAGTTTCAAGCCAAAAGGTAAAATTGTTTTCCACTTATCGTGTTATCGGTGAAAGTGTATGGCACTGTCGATAACAGACGTAGGTGACGGCTATCAGACACATCTGTGTCTGTACAGAAAAATGCCAAAGATTTCAATATTTCCACGCCAAAGATTTCAATATTCCACTGTTTTTTCAACACCTTGTCATGACAAACTAAAATAAAAAGCTTCCCGACTCCATTTTTTTTTTCTTTTACATAAACACTTTTAGATTTCAATATAGTCAGGGATTTTGTCTCAAATTATGTGCATCATCATTCATGTTTTTTTTTTAATGTGATTGTAGGGTTATGATTGCTTCTAAGCAAGATATTATTACAGGTAAAGCAGATACGTTTTTCTTTTGATTATCCAATCCGACATACAAAAATATAAAATACCATTTTATCTAATCACATTCCAGACGTTCATAACTTCTAATGCTTTAAATAAAGCTATTTTCAAATAAAGCTTATTTGCCTTCACGTGTGTGTGTGTGTGTGTGTGTGTGTGTGTGTATGTGTGTGTGTGTCACAATATAAAATGTGTCACACTATAAAACAAAAGTACAAAAGTTATTTACCAAAACCATTTCAAAAATATCAATTGTGAAGACCCAAAATCTCCAAACATATGTTACACACATACATAACACTGTCACAATAAAGTATATTTACTTGTATCCATTAAAAACCATTTAAAATAACTATAATTTTGTACTTTGTGCAGTATGTATATATACATATGGCACTACAACATTCCCTGAGTATAAGCAATCACCACAACAGTTCTAAATGGAGAAAAAAAACTTAACTTTGCATTCCTTTAATACATTTTACTGACATGGTTATATGTATCTATAAATTATGCATATGTAAATAATAAATCATCATAGATAAAAGCGTCATATATATAAAATCCTTAACATATTTTAAAAGACATGTGTCAAGTAATACTCTGTTTACACATTAAAAGTTTGTAATATTGCATGAGAACATTTCTGAACAAGGTTCAACCAGGTATAATTTTGATTAACTCAGATTTTAGTTCATCATTTAACCTTTCATAAATGACCAAATTTCATCAAATATCTCAAAAATTTTGAAGGGCAAGTCAAATGTCTTCAACAATTGTTGCAAATAAAGTTTGCTTAGCCCTAGAAAAAGTTAAAATGTCTCAGCCAATCTCTTAATATAAACAAGTTGTAAAGGTGAAGATGGAATTATAGTGCCACATCCTAGAGGTTGCCCCATCTCAGGTTTGTAACCCAGCACATTCATCCTGGATAACTTCTTCAGTGCAGGAATAGAAACACTCTCATCTTTTATAAAGAACTCCATGGGGATGTTCCCATCTACCGTCTTGGCCATGGCTTTAATGATGCATTTCCCCTCCTCTTTTGTCCAGTTTGGTTCCCCATATCTACGCACTAGACCCCTAGACATCATTGCTGGATATAGCAACAGATAGGCTTGGCGCATGGCTCTGGGACTCAGTGGATTTAGCCCTTATAAAGAGAAATTCAATATTCCATAATGTGGTGCTTAAATGACAAAAATATTAGTGACCAAGGCAAGCATTTATAACATCTTAGCTTGTGTAATCTTGGTTTGCAGAATCATACTGCAGATGCTCCTGTTTGCCAGAATACACCTACTGGTAGGGCCTGTAACAGTGAAAGGAGACGCCTGGTGATTGTTAGGAATCTGATGACCTGATTGTTTTGCCCGAACTTACACAAATAACCAATATTGTCAACCATTTAGTTTGTGTGAACCTTATTTATGGCTGAATAAAATTTAGATTAAAAAATTTAGATATAAAAATTTAATATTAAAATGTATAAATAACTTACAATGTTCACCATCCCCTCCATGCAACAAATTTTCAAAATTGCTGACACTCAGGACCTGTGAATAATGATAGGCACGACCCCCAAGAAACTTGTACATCTCTTCAAAGTGGGGGATGTTCTTTTCTTTCAGGTGGTGACCTAGAACCTCAGCTTGGGAGAGCAAGGACTTCTTCAATTCCATGTATAATGTGTGTGAGCTGACAGCATCCAAGTCATCTATCCACAAAGGACTTACTTTGTGGCCCACTAAAATAAATATGTACTAATTTTAGATGCTTTGTGAAGTCTTAGACTTTATTCATCTAAGGTGAGATTGATTAATATAGTCAGTGATCGATTGAATGATGTGTAAAATTTACATACATCTCCTAGTTATATACTTAATCCAGTGTCTTTCTGGATAACTCCTTGCACATGAATAGTATACTTAGGCTTCGTTCACATGGAATGTCTATTTTCTTAAATTCTATTTTCTATTCGCGGTATGTCTTATGATCACGGTCTGTGCCCTGAATATCCCGCCGCGTAATTATTGGCAGCGCGAGCCAGTTACTTATAGTAACTTATAGTAACTGGCTCACACTGCCAGTAATTACGCCGCGGGATATTAAGGGCACAGACCGTGATCATAAGACATACCGCGAATAGAAAATAGAATTTAGAAAATAGACATTGCATGTGAATGAAGCCTTAAAGAATGTATACTTACAGAGATCTGACAGTTGTGTAAAAAACAAACCATTGCTGGTGGACAAAATAACATCCATCAGGCGTTCCTGTTGAGTGACCTGAATGTAAGCTATAAACATGTTATTAGGTAATGAAGCAGAAAATGCCACTGCTTTTGTGATTAGTATAAAATTCTTACACTTATGCCAGTAGGAATCTTATTAAGTAATCAAATCATGACTGCTTTATAAAACTGACTGAAAACTTAAAAACAGTATAAATGAACACCAGCCAAAATACCACATACTTCTTTTTAAGTTTGGAAAATAATTCTAACTCTGCTCACTCACCTGGCCTATCCACTGCAACAACTGATCCATCTCTCTTGAGTCTAATGTTTGCAAAATGTGTGCTGCATGGATGTAAATTACAGGGTGGTAGATGTCCTTTTTCATATTCCTCAGATGCTTTTTTCACCAATGTTTTGTAGAACCTTAGGGCTGCTGGAAGGGTCTCTGCTTGCTAGCAGACAAAAGGAAGTTAGTTCATGTAGACTATATATCTGTATATTTAAGAAATAAATTAGACTCAGGTAAGGTTCATAAATTAAAGTAATTGAACTAGTGATTACTACGTATATCTTGGCACCATGGTGCCACACTGCTGGATCATGAATTCTCTCGCAAAACAAAGAGAAAATATTTGTGAAATCTTAACTATAATACAGAAAGATAAAGAAAAACCTTTGTTGCTTACATGAGAGACATACATGTATTTACGTAAAAAAAAAAACAAAAAACAAAAAAAAACAAAGACAGCACAATTTACTAACTGATTGGAGAATTTCTTCAATAGATTTCCCTTTCAATGAATGCGAGTCCTTTTCTGACCGATGAGGAAATGGAATCCCCATGAGAGTGGCTGAGCCTTGCAGTAAAGGGGAAACGTCCATGAGAAATCCGCCCAAACCTTGTTTTACCTTTATCAAAATTTAAAAACCTCTAACTTAGTCATGTCAAGAAAAAATTTTGCTATATCTGCTTAGTGTGGTACATGTCCTTTTGGCATTTGAAGAATATTCAGATTCAGGTTTCTTAAGTAGGCAAAAACAATTAAACCTAGTCCTAAACTTCCACAGCATGTAGGATACCCACATTATACTTTATTAACAGATTGCTGAACCCCTCTTTGCACAAAAGTCAACTTACAATATATATACACACTTTTGTTGATCATTACTAAGGAAAATAATAAATCTACCTCTTAATAAAATTTTCATCATGATCAGCCCAGATACTTTTTCACCATTTTTGGAGACACCTTTTTAATGACTATCCCATTTTTTAAAAAATTTAGCTTTGATAAAAGTTAACTTTAATTTGTACCTTTGACAATACTCCAGTCAGCTGGTGAGATTGACCTTCAGGTGACCTGAGATCCAGAGTCATGGGTGGTGGGTGCAGTAGGTGTTCTCTCATGGCAATGGTTAAAGCCTGCTTAACAATAGAAGTTTTCCCAACATCTGGTACACCAAGCAGCACTAGTGTAGAGTTCAGAGGTTGGACATATTTCTCACTTTCATATTGACCTATATGCTTCTGAACTTGTTTAATGATTTTTTTGTCATTGTTTGGCTCAATGTTACATTATCTGGATTTTCATTTTTCTTTTTTTCATCAGCTATCATCCAAGCATCATGCCACTGACAGAGAGGTGTTTTGAAGCGCTCCAGTAAAAGTTTTATCTCCTTGTGGCGGTTCACAAGAATGCTCCCCTGATGGATCATAAGTGTATGGACGACTGACAGTGATTGTGGATATATTGTGTGTTCTGATTTGGTATTTGAGCACTGACAGCCTGGCACAAAACACACGTGGAATAGTCCTGCTCATCATAATATTTCATTCTCTTCTGATATATGAAATATGGAAATTTCTGAAGTCATGTTGGACTGAAATGAAATATAACTGTACTTTCAACTACATTTGTGTTGGTTAGCAAATATTTATATAATTTTATGGTACATTTGTAACATGAAAATCTGACTCCCATGCAAATCACCCCCAGTCAAAGTTTCATAATGAAAGTCTGACTCCCCCCATGAAATTTTGACCCCCTCCCCCAATAAAACTTTATTAATCTTAATTTACTTGAGTATATGACGTTTATCTTATAGTGTGGATAATGGAGGATACATTGGCACTTTTTGTTAGTATGTAGGTGAAAATTTTAATGAGAAAATAAGAAAATTAAAACAGTGTGTTTTACCATCAAACTGCCAAATATTTCCAATATATTTTTCATAAAGTATACTAAAAGGAAAGATTGTTGAATTGATCACCAATTATCAAATAAATAGCTTTTTCATAGGGGAGTCATAGGGTGGTAAAATACACATTTTTAATTTTCTTATTTTCTCATTAAACTTTTCACCAGCAAACTAGCAAAAAGTCCCAATGTATCCTCCATTATGCATACTACAAGATACAAGTCATATTCTCAAATAAAATAAGATTTATAAAGATTTGTGGGCGGGAGTCAAAATTTCATTGAGGGAATCACATTTCCCCATTATGAAAATTTGACTGGGGATTAAGATTTTCATTTTCTTTCATTATGAAAACCTGACTGGGTAGTCACAATTTAAGGGAATCAGATTTACATGGTACACTGGTAACATGGGACAATAAGCCAAAATTCCATTGTGTTGTTAACTGGTTGAAAATGATTCTATATAAATCAGACCCGAGCAATGCTACTGACATGACAATTTCACATGACTTAAAAAATTACAAAAAAATTTGTTTTCATTAAATGGAAGACAAGTTTTTTTTTGCATTATATGATACACTAGTGGGGTATTCTTAAGTCTTTTTTCTGTTCAGTAACCGATCAAGGTAACAGCCAAGCATGATGAATGAACTTTTTGTATCATTTTTAAACACCCAAACCCAATTATAGAGGTGTTTTTTACATGCTGAAGTATCAAAAAATAAAATTGAATGAATTCAAGTTGTATTCAATTTTTCAATACATATATGTGTATAGAACAAAAATCCATGGCTGTCTCAATTTTACATCTACATTTAATTTTTACCATGCCTATACCTTATGTAAGAAGCCTAAATGGTAACGTACTGGCATATTCCGGTAACGTATGTTCCCAGCCATATAATTTAATTTTCATATAATGTTCCAATATATTTTGTAGTGATTCAGTCATGGTAAATTATATATGATATAAAGATGTTTTTATAAACATTTAAACTGTAACTAAAGGGGCTCTGTATCATGGTTAATACTACGTAACACGCTCCCCAGAAAAATTGTCAGAAAGTTTAATTTCGCCCAAGTACCCAGTACTTGGTGCAATAGGAAACAGGGTTTGCTGTTGCTGACTGAAAAATATATATTGTGATTTCATGACAGTTTGACATTTCTGATATAATATTTGGACCACGAATGGAAAACAGTTTAGTACCTCCGCCAAGGAGGTTATGTTTTCACCCCTGTTTGTCCGTCTGTCATCAACATAACTCAACAAAAGTAATGGACCAATTTGATGAAATTTTCAGGAACTGTCAGAAGTGGGCCAAGGAAGAGATTTTTAGTTTTTGGTGGTGATCCAGATCAATAATCAATCAATTATCAAAAAACTAAGTTATGGACCGATTTTGATGAAATTTTCAGGAACTGTCAGAAGTGGGCCAAAAAACAGACGATCAGTTTTTTGGTGGTGATCCGGATCAATAATCAATCAATAATCAATAATAAAAAATATCGAAAATTTAGGGGTGAAACAGCATTGGATGGAGACTTGGCTGCCTTGGTGGAGGTCTGCGCTCTCTGAGCTAGTGCTTTTCTAGTTAAATACTTAATTTACAGTCGTATTCCCCCCTTTCTAATATTCAGTGACAAGCAAACTAAAAACAATAAAAAAAATTAATTAACTGCTCTATGCAGAAGATTATCATAATTTTTTACAAAGTGATACTTGGAGGTGATAAATTAAAGAACAAAACCAGTGGGTTTGGGTGACGTATGTTCCACTTTGGGCTTAGACGATGAATTACTTTTTCTTATTCATGGTTCCAGGAGAGTGAAACTTTGATACAAACTTTTTCATGTGGGATCCTCAAATAATAATAAATAATCAAACATAGCTTGTAATCTGTGCACTAAATATTTTTAAGATTATGCCTGTGACCTCATTTGGATTTGGATGTAAATCAATATCTACCCCCCCTAGTAGTAACTCGGTGTAGACCTCTATCTCTCTATTATTCAACGGACTAGTGTTAATGTTGGCTAACGTTTTACTAACAAAGTTTCCCCTAAAACTGCTTACTTGCTGTGGCAAAATAGACACGTAAGACTATCAGGACCGCGCCCCTCATCTACTATCACAGACTCTATCACAGATCCCCCGTCCTCTGCTCGACACTCTGCTCAACTCTGTTTCTATTTCTCTTGCACCGCTTACAGCAAAAATTAATTGACCAACATATTCTACATTTCATTTCAGTCATATCAATAAATATATCTAAATAGAAAAATGAAACATAATAAGGTAAATAGAAAGTCAATATTCTTGTCATATTCCATCGATACATTTGTTTTTTTATATAGCATATGTGGGGTAATTGTGTAAAAGGTGAAGGTCGAAGAGCTCACGTTTAGCTCCATGAAATTTCTTGATATTAATTTATTTTGTGATCGTAATGTCGTGTTAGTAATTTATTTGATTACATTATGGGAGTGATATATTCGTCCGCCAAGCGATTTGTTATGAACTATAATTATAGCAACAGGGCAATGAGAGAACTCAGTCGCCAAGAGAAGAAGATTAAACCGCCGCCAAGACATAAATCGGCTGGAGCAGCACGTTTAGAAGAAGTCGCAAAAGAGCAAGGTATATATAGCATTTTCCTGATTGTCATAAAAGTAAGTGGAGTATTCGCTAAGTCAGTGGATAACATCATTGTTTTTGACATACGGCTCTGCTGCTGCCATTATTAACATTTCAACAATATCGATCATTTTGAAAAAAATGTGGATGATTAAAAGAGCAAAGCAGCTGCATGGTTTAATCAAGGAGTTATAACAGAAGGAGATTACACGCCAGTCCAACCCCCCCCCCCCTTCCAGGCTGTACGACCCGTACAACCTTTCTTTGGTCACTTTCATACAGAGGTGAGACGCCTCTCTCTACACCACGCTGAGGTGAGACGCCTCATGCAGTACGCTGTACACAGCTACGCCCACACTCTCCATCAGATATAACTTTAATCTGATATATCAAATCACTCCCTCACACATACGTAACGAAGGAAAACAAAGGGATTTTGAGCATTAAATCTCAACCCCAAGCGTCCCACTAACAAGCTCACAGCTTCTAACTAGGGGCGCTGTCAAAACACACGTACCCAGGGGCCCAGCTTTGGATCGTGTTATTTTGATCTGAGGTAGTTTAACTAAGGCATGAGCCGACCACCCCCAAACGTTATGCATTTAAAAGCACTTAATTACCTGTTTTTTGAAAACCTTGTCCAACGTAATATCATATAAATTCTGTATTTCTCTCATTTTTTAGAAACTTGGGACTCCGTTTCTGTTTCTGTCCTCAAAAATCAACAGACGAAGGCACAGATACTAACAAACGAGATTTAAACGAGAGTAACAATTAAGCGTAACAGAGATAGGCATCCATTGTTCTCTGGGTTCTATTCATTCCGACCAATGAGAGACCGTAATACGGGCTCCGCCCCCACGCGTGTAATCTCCTTCTGTTATAACTCCTTGGTTTAATTAGCCTAGGGCAGAAAGTAGCACACAGTTATCATCATTTGATGCAAGGGGAATTTATTTAAAGGTTTCAGAATTTTAGTGTCCATACCCATAGGTGTAGGGAAGTAAGTGCAAGAAGCTTATTCCCAGACGTATATTTTTAAGAATTGAATGTGTGTGTGTGTGTGTGTGTGTGTGTGTGTTTGTGTGTGTCTGTGTGCGTNATGAGCCGACCACCCCCAAACATAATGTATCTTATGTTGGATCCTAGGGCAACAGAAGGGGGTCCAACAGAAGGTTATCAGCAGAAAATTAACGAGAGCTTACTACAGTACTAGGTTATGATAATGGGTTTTGATTTTCTGGATATATAGATATTTATAGATGAATCTTTATGACCACACTGAATGTACCAGTACAAAACTGGAACTTTTACAGTTACAGTATAAAGCCAGTGACCCATTGAAGCTGTTTTTACCTTTTGGCTGAGAGAGACATGTGTAGACCCTTGGTCATATATAGAAGTGATCTTAAGCAATGTATAGAAATGAACATCACATGCTCATTATGCAAGCTTTTAAGTCATGTGTACTAATCTTCTTAATTTCTAGTTTTAATCAACATTTATCATTAATTTCCTCAGCCAGCAGAACAACCAATGGAAGGTGCAAATGAAGAAGCCCCTGCAGCTGAGGAGCCTGCTGCGGAAGCTCCTGCAGAAGCCCCAGCTGAGACAGGAGCAGAGGCAGAGGGAGCAGCAGAGGAACAACAACCTGAACAGCCCCCTGCAGAAGCACAAGAAGGTAACATATACTCATTAAAATACAGTAAAATTGGTATTAGACTTTGATATTTTCCTCAAAAACATTTTGCTTGGTCTTCTGCATAACTACATGAGGCATTGAAAATCTGTAATGATATAATGAAGTAAAATATTTCATTAAAGAATTAACTGCATAACTACTTAAAGCTAATGAATCAATATTAGAAATCTGCAAGGGTATGATGACATTGTATACATCAATAATATCATGTTGCAGACACGAGTATGGAATCTTCCACAGTTTGAAAAACTATTCATTTTCCCTGTAGGTGGTGAAGCTCCCCAAGAAGATGCAGCCCCTCCAGCTGAGGAGGCTGCAGCAGAGGGAGGTGAAGGAGGAGATGAGACAAAAGCTGAGGGAGAGGAACAGAAACCAGATGGGGAAGAACCCAAGGCAGAAGGAGAGGAGGCTGTGCCAGCTGAGGGGGAGGAGGCCAAGCCAGTGGATGAGGCCGCAGAAGGAGGTGAAGCTCCAGCAGAAGGAGAAGGAGGAGAGGTTGCAGAGACAGCAGAGAAAACAGAAGATGGTGAGACTGGACAGGAGGCTCAGCCTGCTGAAGGTAATTGGTGGATATTTATCTATTTCAAATTTATATTCCAATTATTCGATTTATAATTTCCCAAAAGTTTACCTTGAAAATTTATTTCCCATGTTATATTTTTAGCAAATAAACTAGAGAATTCGAAAGTTTGTTAAGTAATTTGTCATTTGTATTACAACAAATTTTGTTGAAAGGTTTCAATGAGGTTGCCTTTTTCCAAATGGTCCATGCTTCTTCTGTAGGAGAAGGCGAGCCAGCAGAAAAGCCCACTGAAGGTGAAGAAGGAGAACAAGCACCTGCAGAAGCAGGGCAGGAAGCTCCAGCTGAAGGTGCTGAGGAAGGAGCAGAGAAACCCCCAGAAGGTGAAAAAACAGAGGAAGAAAAACCCAAATCACCTGTACCTCAGGTAAATTACCTGGCATTCTTATGTACCAACTACCTGTGTAATCAAGACAATTTGCAGAACACAAGAATCTTGTTCAGATTAATTAAAGGCATCGGTCCTTTATACAGTTTCTTAGCTACTCACTGCGAAGCTGCACAAGGTTCTTTACCATGCGATATTATAACAGAATCAATCAATTATTTTAGTTCAGTTTATATATCAGCTTACTTTCTTAGAATAAAAGTCCTTGTGACTTGACTCGTAATTTGTTTAAATGTACTGGTACATGTTCATGCAAGTGTGCCACTTTTTCATTTTACATCTATCTGACCCCCCTCCTTCCCCCCCCCCCCCAAAAAAAAAAACACATTTTTTAAAAATTGTTATATACATGTAACTTTTTTTCCTCCTCAGAGTGATACCTTTGCAGAAGGGGAGAGACCAGAGAGCCCAGTAGCAGTAGGAGAAAAACTTTCCCGTGAGGGCAGTCCCACTGGGGAGAAGGAGAAAACTGATGGCCCTGAAGCTATTAGACCATCTACTCCTGATAGAGAAAGTATGCTTATTTGATTATAATTTATTTCAGTCTTCTAAACATTGGTGAAGCACCTTAGAAAGCTTTGTTTTGAAGTTAAGCATTTGATTACCTTTTAAATTGAAAGAAAAAAAATGAAAAATTGTAGAATATTTCAAAGTTTTAAGTTAATGACAAAAATTCTTGAATTATCGTGAATAAGCACTGACTGATATTCCTTACCATTTTAGTTTCTGACTTGGACATACCACGGGATACAGCAATGGATGATATCATTGAGGAAGAGCCAGCAGGACCACTGATCAGCAGGGAGGAGTTAATAGAAAGATACCATGTAAGTATAACAGCGATCAAAGCAAAAACTAGTTATAATTGGCACAGACAATCAGGGAATATATTTTATATATTATCTGTTAAAGGTACGCATTACTGAATTATAAGTGTGTTTATGTTTTTGTATTAGTATCTATATCATATGATGTCTCAGTGTTGCAATCCTTTAGTCACCAGTTGCCATTCCTGGAAAGGGAGGGTGGTGTATTGAATGGAACTAAATTGTTAATATTTACAGTATAAACTGTATACATACATTTTTTAGGCTGCCATAGCTGAGAGAGAGCAGCTTCAACAACAAAACTACCAGTTCCAGCACAAGCTGGCTGAAGTGTTTAGAAAGAAGAAGACTGATGATTCTGGCAAACAGGAAACAGATAAGAATGTGACAGATCAGGAACAGAGATATTTGAAATATATGGGTAGGTGTTGTCTCCAACAGTTTTATTGCAATTTTTTGATTGTATTTTTCAAAATCCTGTCATGTAGTAAAAAACTGACTACTCATTTTTTAAAATAAATTGGCATCTCATCTCATTTCATCCGTAATTTATCAAAATAAGAAAACTGCATATCAAAATCTTCAGTACATGGTATTGATTAAAATGATAAAATTAAAAGAAAAATTGAATTGAAAGTAAAGAAAGTATCATATAATGCCTGATTTCAGCCAACTTGGATGAGCTGCGTAGACAGGATTCCCAGTTGAGGGAGGAGTACAGGAACCAGATAGAGGAGCTGAAGTTTCAGTGCCAGGAGCACCAGTCATCTGTGGATGAGGAGAGGGAGAGATATATGGAGTTTAAGAAACAAGTGGCACTGAATTCCATCAACTCCAGATCTGGGAAACCAATCCCTCCCAGGGTAAGTGTAGCCATGGGAAAAGATCTTGTAGGTCACCAGCTCTGTACATTTCCAAATATTCTATGATTTTTTTTTCTTTGTCCTCAGTGTCCACACTGGCATTATTCCACTCTGGCAACTCTTTTTATCAATACTCTTTTGAGTACTTTAATGTGGGCATTGCCGATTCCTGAAAATGACAAATTTTATTAATAGCACATTTGTTTGTTATTTTTGCAGGATATTGAGCACTTTTTATTACAAGAAAACAAGAAGGAATCAGAAGTTGTCAATGTCAGGCTGGAAAACATAAAGCTGAAGAATAAACTGAGAAAGAAGGAATTGCAACTCAAATCTAAGGTTTGTATCTTGCTGGCTATTTGTAATAAGAGTAATGTAAAATGTTCCTTTTTTGCAGACACTTGTCACTTCTCACTTCCATACTTATTCATTTTTTATTATTATAATTTTATTAATGTTATTATTATTTGATATATCATAAAAATGAAAATTAGTTTCACACCTGATTTTAAGTAAATTGATCAGCATTTTAACATATTCAGTAATTTTCAACATTTCGTAATATTATAGTATTTTACACACTAACCATGGAAACAAAATATTGTCTATTGCAGGAAGAGCTTGCAGCTGGTCTTCACATGATTGACTTTGAACAGCTCAAGATAGAAAATCAAACTTACAATGAAAAGATTGAGGAGAGAAATGAGGTAGGTTTTTGTTATTTGTTTGAGCATAATCAAAATTTTGGTCTGTTATTATTTAGAGTACATAGCAAGGCAAAACATGCTCTAATGAAGTGGAATTGTGTCAAGCTTTCAGCCAGTCCCAATACAAGGATGAAGAAAAAAACAAGTAATATTTTTAAACTGCCTTTATCAAGACAAATTAGTTATATTTATCTGCAAAATGGAAAATAGCGTGCTGTCATTCATCTAGACCAAATTTTTATTGTAGGAACTTCTAAAATTGAGGAAGAAGATCACAAGCACTGTGCAAGTGTTGACTCACCTGAAGGAGAAGCTGCAGTTTGTGCAGGGTGAAAATCACGTCCAGAAACAACAACTCAGAGAGGTAGAAGCCCTGGTGGGAAGTGTAAGTCTTCAGCACTTCGCTTTATTATAGTTTAAATGTAGTGTTTAGAAATCTTATCTCAAACTTTACAAGTCCATTTCATGTCATTTTAATGACCTTTTTCTCAAGAGATGAGAAAAACTAGCTATAGTATCAGTGACAATGCGAGCCAATTTTTTAGATTGTTTTTCATTTTCACATTTGCCAACTAAATGCATACATACAGTGATTTGAAAGTGAAAAGCTGGCATGCATTAGAATTGAGTTCAGAGTAAGACTAAAATATTTACCCCTCTAGTAATTTCATTCGATGTAGAAACATGAGCCATTTTCATTTATACTTTTAGCACAGAAGTGTGGAAGTTGCATGCATACAAGTTGCAAAATAAAGTCCATGATTTCTTTTCTTTTTTTTTCCAGAAACGAGACATCCTTTCCAGAACAAAACAAGCCAGGGATGCATTAAGAATAGATAACCAAAGACTGAGACAAAACTGTGGCCTGCTAGGAAATGAACCTTTGTTGAGAGATTTTGAGGAAAGAAAAGATGATAGTGAGGCACTGAATAAAAAGTTAGAGGACTTAAAACTCAGGCACGCTGAATTGACATTAAATACAACAAGTGTCAGAAGGAAACTGGAGCAAGCCAGAACAGGACGGCCATAAATGTCCTCCTAATGTGACACTGCTGGACTGACTGCAAATGGATATATAACAACTCTATAGCAAACTTGATACTTTATTTGCTTTAAAGCAGTCACATTCAAATCCACATTCATACCATAAAAAAAATTTTAATCATATCCATTTTTGTAAAAAATGTACATACATACATGTTAATATAAAATATATAATTATCAACTGGATATTACTCGTTTTATTTTTACACTTAACTTTGAAAATAGTATTTTATCACCACTGTGATCTTAACACGATCTTTCTCATCTTTTACATTTCCATACCACATACATTTTCTACAAACACTGTAGATTGTAAAAGCTGTCAAAACATTAAGTATGGAGTAAAACCTCTGCAAACATTGACAAAATTGGATTTTGTTGGATTTTGACAAATTTATCCAGTTGATAACCCCTGTCCCATGTTCTTTTAAGTCTGAGAAAAGCAAAATGTGTCACATCCTTTTCACATCAGTTGTTCATCTGAACAAGGTTCTCCAGTTCTTCTCTTGCATCAACTGCAAATTTTTCAAACTCTGCTATTTTGCTCTCTGCACTTTTCATCTAAAATTATAAGAAAATATCATGATAGAATTGCATGAACTTATTTTGTAGTGGAAACTTTCCCTAAAAAACGGCCTAGCTGTCATTTGGATGTTGGTCTCCTCAGACGGCTTATAAAATTTGAGGGATATAACAGCTTGATATCTTGAGATGGCTGGACAGCCTGGAAATTTTTCCATAAAGTAATTTGATGTACAGGATCCAGATTATAGGCCAATTAATGAGCACATTTTCCCCACTGAGGCTGGAAAAAATTGGTACAGCTCACAGGTTTATAAACTTATTCTGGTCAGTCAGTAATAATGTTTTTATGCCCAATCACCATAAACATTCACACTATTATTCATACCAAGTAACCAAATAACACAAGTTATTGGTTGTTTCAAGATTTGGCCAATTAAGGCCATTTTAAAAATATAACTGTAACAGTAAATTGTGTTAAAATATAATTTTACATTGCAACTTATTGTTTCCAAAATATTAAAACAGATGTCAGTGATCAGTAAGACTAATTTTCCAAAGTTTTATGCTGTTATCAGTCAGCACAAATTATCATTAAATATAACTTACAAAGTTAACTTTATTTCATTTATTTCATTTTTAAGCTTGCAAAGCTTCTTTGTCAATACTTACAATCCTGATAGTTTGTCTTGTACATTCAGTCTTGAAAAATTCCGCCATAGTGCAACTATCTCCATGAGCAAGAAATGGACAGCTTGCTGAGTGAGATTCATGCTCCTTCCTGAAAATATGAATTTCAAATAACTTTGAATAAATGTATGTATCTAAAGGCTTAAGCTGCATTCATTTTCTAAGCAATGCTGTCTAGTCAAAATTTTATGTTATTTTTCTTTTTTGATGTAGTTTCTCTCTTGGTTTGTTTAATGTTAATAGTGTAAGATTCATTTGCAATACATATGTACCATGGTTTTAATTAGTAAGTTTTAGACATTTGATTCATGAAGAAGTGAATGGATTTTTATGGCCTGCTCTACAAACTAAAAGAAACTCTCTAGGCTATTAAACAGTATGCAGCATGGGTTGATCTGTCCTAGTGATTCATTATCATCTTCTTAGTAATGATACCCTTTACGTGGCTCTTGTGTGCTTATAATCCCTATCATAGTATAGATCATGATGTATAGTATAGATGTACAACAAATAGTCCAAGGCTTATCAATTAAAGCACAGGGCACTATGTAAGTTTAAAAAAAAAAAAAAAAAAATGGCATCCTAAATGCAGATCTGCAGATTTTCAAACAATATTCTAGATACAGTTATTACCATGGGTCATCATCTGGTTCCCAACCTTCCAGTTCTTTACAGCACACAAAACACTTCACCAAATCTGGGGCTTGGTCAGTCGGGCAGTGGTAAAATCCTGCGGCTGCCATCTGAATAAATATATTAAAAAAAATTTAAATATCAGTATTTGGGCACCCTTTTCCACATGTGTAATACCTGGGTTTTTACTCCAACTCCATACTCCCTATGGATAGACAAATTGCAAATATTAGTACTAGTTGCTCAATCTTATATTTTCAACATAAGGTACATTGTTGCTATTCGAAATAAAATCAGTCATTTGCAGCAACCGTCATATACTGTAAGTAATGATTATACACCTCGCCTTGACTACTGTAACTCTGCGCTCTGGTTGCACCAAGGAACAGACAAAAATAAATAGTAGCATATTTAAAATATCTCAGCATGCCTCTTAACCTTTCCAGATTCTGTTCCACAAGCTTACTAGAAACTTATTTTATGGACTCTCCCTATGGGAGAATATGGCGATTTCATGAAATCCGTTTAAAATACTAAACCGATTTTGATCGTTTTTTGGGCGATAAAGTATATAAGTATCTGAATCTGAAACTGAATTAGGTTTGATCCACTCGCCAAGTCACTTGCTCACAGTGAGCGTATACCACCCTAACATCAGGGGTTCTAGAATTATGAGAGCAAAATGATAAACAAAAGTTATACATGTACCTTTTCAGGAGTGCAAGTACAGTTACTTGTGAATGGCCACTTGTTAAACGATGCAAGGCGGTGTTCTGGGAGATTGTACCGAAACATCTTCTCCTCTTCTGTCATGTCAATGTCCTCCACTTTCATTTTAAATGTGCCAGGTGAAAACAATCTGCAACAAGGAAATATTTGGATTCAAAAATGGCGGTTCTAATATAAAACAAAGAACAAGTTGGAACAATCCTCTGAATGATAATGCTGAAAACAATATCATTACAAGCCCATTACCCCATAAAATAAATAAATATATAACTTTACTTTCCAGAATTAAATTCAAATTTTTCTTAAAGAGACAATATTACAAAATTGACAAAATCTCAATCTTTGTTTTTCTATGTGCTCACTTCCGGTATGCACATTTCTGCCTGAAGCAAAAAAAAAAGTTTGTTGGGTAGAGAGGGTAATATTCTCTTGCTCGCGAATCATCTCTTGGTTCTTCTTTGCACTAGAGTTTTATGCTGTTTTACCACTTTAATTAAGTAATTTAGTTTGAAATGTGTGAAATGAGCATTGCAAGATATGTGGCGTATAAAATGAACGTTTCACGCTTCTCTGGAAAAAAGTGGCTTTCACAGCTAAGGCAAATAGGGCCTACCCAATGGGGCCCACAAAATTGGTGGCACTTCTCATGATTTTAATTTTGCTTCTTTTTGTATATGAAATTTGCGCCAAAAAAGCCTAATATTGAAACGATGTAGTCAAATAAAACTTTTAAGGCTGAACCTTATATAATAATATTATTATTTCAGTACCTAAACGTAACCTCGTGCGACCGTTATTCTGTCTCAAGAAGAAACCCGACCAAACAAAAGTGACATAACACTTAAGTCAAAGACAGGTAAAGATAAGACGATCGAATGTGCCAGTATGCCAAATCAGTATAGGCCCTATACTGATTGTAAACTGTCATTCCGGTCAATTTGTATGAAATCTGATGAAACTAGCATGACATCGGCGCTATCTTTCAATATCAATTCGTGCTACACCATACAGCGATTGTGACAACCGAGATAACATAAGATCAAGTTCTTTGCGTGAAATTTTAGATACGTTTATTTGATATTTTTATCATTTGTCTAAAGTGTTCTTAGAATAGAATCGATATCTAACTATAATTACCTTTGTAAACAAATAATTAGTTTTTTTACGGGGTAATTTTCTGCATATGATATAAAAACATAGTATACACGATTTACCCTTTACTCGTACTGGTTGCACAAGAACTGACGGAGAACTGGAACAAATGTAGAGAAATTTGAGGAAAAAAATACACGTAAAATATGTGCTGAACGGGCGTTCCAGTTTTCTATTCTGAACTGGCTCGACTGGATCTTAGTCGTCGCCCAAGGAATCGACAACCAACTCAGGTCAGGACTTAAATGTTCTGTCGTTTGAGGAAAACGGATAGATCGGATATAAAGAGAAGGAAAAGAAATAAGGACATAATTTAAAATAAAGCAAGACATTGATAAACAACTGTGAAACTCCTTGACAAGCCCCATGCAACCCATGTTATAAATACTCCGAATACTGACCGAATGTCCCATCCTTTACACCCACTTATTTGCATTACCATTTTTAGTGAGTATCATTAAAAATTATTTCCTTTTTGCATGGAAAATAATTAAGGAACTTTAAAATTTCGTATCATGTTAGCCAAAGTAGTTGCACTCATGATCAGCGATTTGGTTTTATTTCTTTTTATGCGGGTTACGCTGAATGTATGGTGAATGGGCGTTTAAATTTCTCTCGTGATTACCGCCAAATTGCTGAAAATTAGGAATTAGGACCAGTTATTAAAAGTGGATGTCAGGCTCACTGGTGGTTGTATAATAATATATCACATGATGTTGACTGTCCAAATAATCTTCAAGAGATACAGTGATGTGCAGGACACAATATGCCAGTAGTACTTGATATAGGTCACAGCTAGATAAGATGTTTTGATATAATGATGGACGCTTGAGGAAAAAAAAACCTGTGATGGATTACATTATAAAAAGCGCACAGATTGATGATGCTTTGTTTGTTCGTGGAACATGAAACTCCTCATCTGATTTCTAAAATTAACACTGCTTTTCCTCAGCCGTTTCCTGTGGCAGCAAGCACGAGGGACTTTCAATTCACACTGAATTCAGTCAATTAGATGCTCAATTTAGGACATTTAGGCCTACAATGTAGGCCTTGTCATGCTAGCTGGTAAGAATAAGTTATGATTAGTCTGGTTAGTTAGAAGAAAGTGCTGAGGGTGGACTAACTGGAACAATTGGATTCCTAATAATTAGTTTGTTTTTGTTTTAATCGTTTTAACACGTTCAGCTGGTAACAGAGGTACGTAATACTGTATCATCAGACAGCTTTGGGCTTTACATGTAGTTGATGCACCATAGGCTACCTTGCGGACCTTGTTGTTTTGAAGCACAACCTTCACTACCATGATTAATTGTCTGAATAATCGGATAGTAGGCGTGATTTTGACGCATCATGACGCACGCCTTCGACTAGTTTTGATAATTATTTGGAGAAATTAGCAATTTCCATAGTAGGTTTAACAGTTTTGGTCATGGCCCTTCGTTAGTTGATGGCAAATGAAATTATGTGCAATTTTTTCACTTTGGGGTTTTCATAATTATTCTCCTTAATTCAGTTAATTCCACTCAGACCTGACAGCCAGACTTGATTAATTCCGTCTTTTCTTATCAATCCCTCCCTTCAAACCTTGCGTTTCATTTTTCATTTCCTCTTTCTTAATTATATGTTTTTCCTACTTGTTTTGATAATTCGGACAATTTTTGTCGTCATTTGAAGTCTGTTAAGTAACGGGCGTTATTTAGAGTTCTGATACCCGTTAATTCTCAACTTGGTGATAACCTTGAATAAATCTTATCTTGGTTGGCCCTCTAGCGGATGACGTCATATTTACATGGTGGAATGGTAAAAACAGCAGAAACCTGTTCACGGCAATATTTTTACTGATCATACCAATTAATAGAAGTAGAAGCCATGTCTTTAAGACAGTGACCATGGTAAGTTGCTCGCTGTTCTTCAGATCACTGAATTTGAACAGTTTTTCAGTGGGAACTTGGAAGCCACTCGAGGGCAAAATTTGACAGCTGCGAATATTGGCAGTGGCAGCCAGCCGAGTGTTTGCAGCAATGCTGGCACTTGGTGTGACTCACGGGTCGGCTCACAGATCACATATATATTGTGGACGTGGCTGTTGATTTGTATAATCGTGTCACCACTTAATTATTCAAACACGAATGACCTTATCCAGCTTGTATTTTGTTTCCTATTTCTGAAAGTGCAGTGAAGAAGCTGGGGTACATTTTGTGAACAGTTGCAATTCTCGTTAAAAAAGAAAAAAAATTACTATTAGACTACCACCTAAGCTCTGTGGCTGATTATTCCTGTGTTTCTTAGTTATTGGTGAATGCATTCATACATATAAATCCAAGCTAGCTATCAAACAGTACAACCATACATCTTTACTCTTTATCAGATCACCGAACATACTGTACAGAGACCATGTTGACATAATTGGGAAGGTTGTGTCAATTGATAAACAAGAAATCTGTGAAAAAGCCCATTGTTTCATGTTTGTTTATGCCAGTGTACAACTGCTGAATAATGCATTGTTAAGCATGTACCTAACTCACTGATGTGTAACTACAATGTAGTTGATTTATGTGCCCAGTCCAAAGTAATTTAAATGCATAGAATATGCAGGTATGGACTGGAAGGACCAGCAGCACAAGGAGAACCTATTTCACATTGTTTAGGTTTACATCAAGGCAAACATAGTGAGTCATAATATGCAGCCACTATCATTTGTCTCAGCACATAAATATTAAGTATAGAGAATGTGTTGCTGTACTTCTTCAGAGTCCAGGTAAGTGGTATTATAATGGTCCATATTTAGTTAAATTGAAGTGCAGAATGATGAAGCCAGTTAAAAGTAAACTGCGGTGAACACTATTAGCTGAAAGTAATAATTAAGGAAAGCTCATGAACTTTCACAATCAAGTTGTTAACTTCTTCCCTATTATTAATTTTCCATAATAATTATTATACATGACATTAATGTCTCCCATTAACAGGTTACAGTTTACATGTTACACAAAAGGTGCACATTATGAGTTTGTAGGTCAGGTAGATACTTTGTATGATAAAATATCATTTTAGATATTTTGTACATATTTTCACTATCTTTAGGACTGGCAATACTGATACAATACTTTTTTCTGATATTTCTTCACCAAAATGTTTACTGGTTAGTACTGGCATGAGGAAATGTTGTAATAATGAAAGCAACCTGTCTTTTACCATTACAAGGTATGTGTGTAATAGAAATGAGCAAATGTGGACCAGTGTTTTTTTCACCCTTTAAAGTGCTTCATGTGGTAACCCAGATCGTTACCAGCTCAGTCTATTAGAGCAATATTAAAGGGTTCCTAACCAAGAAAAGGTTATTGGGGATCAATAAAAAGGTCACATTTTGCTGATAAGCTGAATAATATGCTGCTATTGATCTTGAGTGGCAGACATAGCATTAAGTCTACTTATCATAAGTGCTGTAGTTGTGAAATGCAATAAGTGTGCAGAATGTATCGATTTCTTTTTGTTTTGTTATTGGCATTCATTTACAGGCAGATTTATAGCACTTATGCAGCCATTAATTTCTGTATTACAAGCTGCTTTATTATGTTACATTGATACTTATATTGTACATTGAACTCATAATGTTTGAATTATGATTTTGAGAACACAGTCATGTTTATTTGCCATTTACATTATGATTTTCGGTACGAGTTCTTGTTTTTGATTAAGTGTAAAGGTATATTTTGTCAGATCTTGGATATCAACATCCTGAGTTTCAGTGTCTATCAGAAATGGCAGTAGCATGCAGATATTAGAACTTTGATGCTGGTAAACTCTGAAACCCAGGGTGAAAGTAAAAGCTGTTTTTTTAATTGATTCATTATGGGCTGATACTGTATAAAGATCTTGGTTGATATACATGAAGATTAAATTTGTTTTTTTCTTGGACATTGGTGACAATAGTGGACCCTTAGCAAAATGAAAAGTTTGCACCTTCGAGTTTGCAAGAAAAGTTTTACTGCTGCTAATTTGCAGCCATATTGCAGAATATTTGCTCAAATTTGCAAGAGGAAATTGCAGTTTGCAGCAATAATGCAGCAAATTTGCTGTAAATTTGCTGCGAATATGCAGCAGGCCTGATATTTTGCTAAGGGGAAACTTACTTTGTGTATAAATATGAGTGTGTATTATAAACAAGAGGTGTTATCTTGAGATCAGAATCAGACTCGGGCCATTCCTGGTACCTGATTCACATTAGAACTTTAGATAGAAAAAGCTGATGTTAACTTTCATATCAACTTTTTGGTGTTCTTTAATTCATAATAAATCTGTAGTATTGTAGTGAAATGAGTGACTATTGATTTAAAACATAAACTGTTTCTTTCTTCTTAAAAAAAAAAGAAAAAAAAGTGCAATGTTTCATTTAATGAACTGCTAATTTAATATTTATCATTGGTCAGATTTGACCAAACCTTTGGTCTCAAAGTTTGGACCAAATATCGATCAGTCTATTATAAAATAGTAAGATGCTATGGTATTCTGATGAAGCTGCTTTTTTTGTCAAAATTGACAATTTCCTTTGGTTTATTTCAAAATTTTTTAAGAACTATCATTCAAGAATTTTACCCCAGAGTGGTGGTTTAAAAGACTATAAAGTTTTAAAGAGAAACTTGGTAATTTTTAAGATAACAAAATAACATGAACTTACATTAATCAGAAGTTTAACTTGTAACATAGTTGGATCTAAGCAGCTACTTAAAGTATGCTGTCCATCTCCCTTTTAAAACTGAAAGCAGACAGGAATTTGATGCAGAATGCTGTCTTACTAGTAATTTGATTCTTGACCCTCCCTTACTAGCATTTGAAATAAATCTGCTGTAACATATACTTTTCAATATTGACTTTTTTTGAAAATGTTCACAAAGACAGTCTTTTCTTTCTTTTTCAATTTTTTTTTCTTTTTTGAATAAATGTGCACAGCAATATGTCATCTCATATACAGCTGTGCCGTCATTATTCAACATCTGTTCAATGCCAAGTTAGTATGGGCGGCCATCCAAGGTAGCTATATACTGTATTGCATGTAAGGTGTGCATCACTGGATGGCAATGACAGGTTGTGCTACAATTATTTCTTTAAAAAGGTTAATCTATCCATGTGCCTAACTCATGCTTGCCAAGATATTCACAACATCAAAGAGCAGTTGACATTTTGGAGCTCACAGTCAGTCTTTGGTAAAAAAAGTTTGTAGTCATTGTTATGCTGTGAGATAGTAATGGGAGTCTGCAGCTGCATGTTGAANTTTTTTTTTTTTTTTTGTTTTTTTTTTTTTTTTTTTTTTTTTTTTTTTTTTTTTTTTTTTTTTTTGTCAAAATTGACAATTTCCTTTGGTTTATTTCAAAATTTTTTAAGAACTATCATTCAAGAATTTTATCCCAGAGTGAGTGGTTTTAAAGACTACAAAGTTTTTTTAAAGAGAAAATTGGTTATTTTTAAGATAATAAAATAACATGAACTTACATTAATCAGAAGTTTAGCTTGTAACATAGTTGGATCTAAGCAGCTACTTAAAGTATGCTGTCCATCTCCCTTTTAAAACTGAAAGCAGACAGGAATTTGATTCAGAATGCTGTCTTACTAGTAATTTGATTCTTGACACTCCCTTACTAACATTTGAAATAAATCTGCTGTAACATATACTTTTCAATATTGACTTTTTTTGAAAATGTTCACAAAGTTTTTTCTTTCTTTTTCAATTTTTTTTTCTTTTTTGAATAAATGTGCTCAGCAATATGTCATCTCATATACAGCTGTGCCGTCATTATTCAACATCTGTTCAATGCCAAGTTAGTATGGGCGGCCATCCAAGGTAGCTATATACTGTATTGCATGTAAGGTGTGCATCACTGGATGGCAATGACAGGTTGTGCTACAATTATTTCTTTAAAAAGGTTAATCTATTCATGTGCCTAACTCATGCTTGCCAAGATATTCACAATATCAAAGAGCAGTTGACATTTTGGAGCTCACAGTCAGTCTTTGGTAAAAAAAGTTTGTAGTCATTGTTATGCTGTGAGATAGTAATGGGAGTCTGCAGCTGCATGTTGAAATCATTTTGCTTGCAATACAGGATGATGATATGATATTGTAAGTGTTCTTTTTGGAATAATCATGGCGGAAGAAATTGGATGTAGTTTTAAAATTTGTCACTGTTATGCACTTCCAAGTTCAAAGATTAACTTTGTTTTATCTGAAGAATTTTGTTCTTTTTATTTCAGGATCAGCCTACCAAGACCCCAGCCACTGTAACCCGTCCTAATGGGTGGTTGCTACTCCAGTAAGGGGGACCCCCATCCCGCAGAGTTCAACATGTCTAGTCATCAGCACAACGGCTCCAAGCTGCGTTATAAGTCCTACTACGCCAATGGCCCAGGGGGAGGTGGCGGGGGGTTTGGGTTCAGACCACCCCCTTCTATGATGCACAAGCCCCAGGGGGTGGTCAATGGAGGAGAGGTAGTAGGAAAGAAACTTGCCATTGGAAATGGAGATTTAAGCTCGGAGTCTCCATACAGAGTCATTGCATCAGGACATCAACAGCTGGGAAAACAAGCTGGCGATGAGAGTGATGTCATTACCCAGCATTCTCAGAGTCCGAACAGCAGTCTTACTAGAGCAAAGCCTGGCAGCGGGGCTGGCAGGGGAAAATTTGGCTTTGGATTCAAACCACCCCAAGGGAAGTTAAATGATTCCAGCAAGAGTGCTTCCTCTTCTACCCATAGTTTGAACAGCAAGGAGGGGGAGAACAGTGGAGGCTCCCAGGGTAGTTTGTCAGCACTGAAAAAAACTGTACAGCATGACAGGACTGACAACAGATTAAGGTGAATCTAATTTTTTGAAAAAGGGTTATTAATGTGGTAAACACACCTTGTAGAGCTGAATTTGACTCCAACAGTGGTACTGCTGTAGGATTTTTAAATTTTTTAATCGCTACATTGGACCCAACTTAGGACCCCTGGCTATATGGGTCTTGCTCCCAGTATTTTTTGCAAATTTCCTTTTATCTTTTAAGCTGCACTACAAGCATATGCTTTTCAAGGGTCGTAGTACTAGTATGATTATTTTTATTTATTTATTTATTTATTTATTTATTTATTTATTTATTTATTTATTTTGGCATACTGACATGCCTTGCTCAGTATGTCAGGCAAAAAAAAAATGTACCCCTGTGCCCCATATCTTATTGTAATTAAATGTATTAAATAAACATTGAAAACCTCCTATGAAAATATTAACATCTTAAAATGTTTTTATTAACAATAGTGTTTTGTGACATACCACTGTAGGAATATTGCGGCAATAATGTCTTAATGTTTTGTTTGTCTCTGTCACAGATATAGCAGCAAACTGCAGAAAAAGCATCAGCCTCATCAGACCCAGTCAGTGTTAGAGAAATCTAGAACTCCAAATGGCAAACCTTCAAATATGTCTCCTACAAAACAGCGTGGTAATGGCAGCCCAGGAAAGCATGGTAGATATAATGCACAGCTCCATGTTGCCCAGACCATGAAGAAGAGCACTGAAAATGTATCTGAACCGTCTAGACCTTCAGGGATTGCCCAGTTTAAAATACCCACAATCACAGCACAGCAGCCTGATAATAGGAGTAAGGCTACCAGTAACTCAGATACAGACTTACGCAAAATGAACACAAGGACCTTTGCATATCGACCACAACAGCAACAGACCAAGAAAGAAAAATCTGGAAAAAACGAATTCCTGATGGGAAGAAAAATGCAGTATCAGCCTTTATCATATCATAAAAGGGAAAACGTAGCAGGAGTGAACCCCTGTAAGGATAACAAGATTGAGGAATTGTTGGATAATAATAACAAAGAGAAAGTCAAGTTGCAAAGTCAAGAGGGACCTGTGTGTGAAAGTGAAGCAAAGATTGAGAGAGAAAATACTGAGAAGGATTCAGATGGGATGCTTTTGCCTCCAGAAGAGAAACATAAAGAAGATGACATAAATAAGGATGAAAATGATGAACCAAAATCTCTACAACATACAGATTGTTCTTACACATCACAGGTTTTGAATGACACTTTTACAAAAGATGTTGTTGAAGATGAACCTGATGGAAATATTTTGAATGAAACTTTTACTAAAGTTGATGTTAAAACTGAGGAAGCTGTTGCTTGTAAGACAAATGCACCAAATGAGGATATTTGTCTCCTCTTGCCAGAAAACTTTGAACAACAGACTTTAGCAGAAGAATCCAAGACATATTCAAAACCGATCAGAAAAGATACATATGACATGGACAGTGATAAAGCAGACAGACACCATAATAGGCTGAGAACTAATTCTGCATCTAGGACTCGTAAAGATTCTGACCATTCTGCTCAGAATAGTCCTAGACCTAAGCGTCAGGTGAAGTCTGCGCAGAACAGTCCTAGACCCAAGCAGAGTTCTGCAACGTCTGCCCCATTTAGAGCCCCCTTGGCGAGGTTTGACTCCGAGGAAACCAATCTGAACAGCATGTCATGTATCTCGTGCTCAAGCCTTGCCTCTGATGACTTAATGATAGATACCGACCTTCACTTGGACAGTGTGAGCCTGTCTCAGTCTGAAGGCAGGCTGTCACCTGATCGTACTCAGGGGCTACAGGAGTGTGTCCATGGGGCACCTAATGGAGAATCTACACAGCAAGGGCAAAGTGCAATAATTGTTGATGAAAGTTCTGGAAAGCAGAATTCCAGGGACAGATTGGACAGTGAGTCTCAAATCTTGGATGATGTGTTTGATGATGATGAAACTGAAAGGTAAATATTCTATATGTAGTGTAAGAAATATGTATAACTCTTATACTGGAACTTTGGCTAGCAGCTGCTATGGTACCAGTATGTTGAAGTCTCACTAGGTTTAAGTTTTATGGTCAGGTCACATGATATATTGACATCCTAATATCCAGTATCAAAGTCATACTTATTTCTCATACCACTTCTGATGGATGACTGAAAACATTCACTCATTCTGTCTGTAGGTAATGACTATAAACTCTAGCATGTACTAAGGGGTGTGAGGTATTTGACTGCAATTAAGCATTTTTAAAACCAAAAGTAGATATTTGAGGATAAACTCTGATGAATAAAAAAGGATAAGGGCAAGAAAATTGTACTCCAAAAGTTGACAATCATCTCAACCCATGCATCATTTTACTTTGTTTTTGCATGTTGTCAGTTTTATTCATTTACTGTGGCCACAAAAACCCTGTTAGATCTTTATTTATGAAAACCACACATTCACCCTAATGAAAATTTTCTTTGTAATTGTATTATGATGCTTCTGTGGTTGGCTTACTATACTAGTAATATTTTCCATGTTGCCAAAAGTTAAAGTTCACTTCTTAGGAAAAAGGCACATTTTTTTGTTGTCATAAAATTGTTCTAAAATTTCCAGAAAAAAAGAAATAATAAGAGGGACCAGTTTTGCATAGAATTTCTCATTAAAAAATATTTATCAGCTCCAAATCTGTAACATGTTGTTATGCCCTTAGAACTCCTTATTTGCACTGTCATGACTCTCCCATATAATGCTTCCATTTACCTCTTGGCATCTTTTCTACTTTGGCATTTTGTTCCACACTTCCCTGTAATTATGTGACACAGATATGGCAGCAGACGATAAAAAGGTATTTTGTCATCATTTTATTGCATGCTTTTAGCTGATTGGTCAGACATGCTGCCAGTCTTGCGCACTTTGTAGATATAATTTATCAGTTTGTTTCCCAAGTTGCTATCTTTGAGTGCTTTTAAACATACTGATAAAATACTTGATCAGCATTAAGAGGGAATGATAAGAAAAGTTGTGTATTGATCTTTTTAGATTATTTTTTCTCCATGCATATTTTTGATGATTGGTTCACGTTGTTTTCATATGTTATACATTGTTATGATAAGAACTTCCAAATTTCAAACATTTCCAATATTTTATTGTATCCAATTTATCATTTTAGTGGATAGTCATAAAAAAAGAAGGAAAGAAAGAAAGAAAAAAACTATTAAGGACCCAACTTGCTGTTAGGGTTTTTATATTCTGCTTGATTTTCAAACAATTTTCAAAAAAGTGAATTAATTTTATTTGAATTTTTTGAGCAGTTACAGAAATAACATTAAAAAGAACATGGATGACTATCATAACACAAGCACCTGTCCCCCCAACCCCCCCCACCCCCACCCCCCAACTACTTCCAGTTTCACTCCTCTGATCACCTGGTTGATTAGGTTAATAACATCTCCAAATACACCCACTGAGCTATGTCAAAGCCGTCATTAACCCAGCTAATGCATAGTGAACACCCCCTGGACCAAATGATGATCAAGAGGAATGACCATATGACTTTATTGGCATGCCCAGTATGTGGCCTTTTAAATAGCCTGCGAGAGTCCTGTGTCTAGTCAGTATCGCAAGGTACAGCAATAGGGAGGGTCGGCAATTGCCCCATATTCAGCGCTGATTGAATACAAAAGAACCGAGGAAGTGTACTGTATTGGACTCAGGCATCCTTTAGTGTGATGTACATGAATAAATCATGATTCATTCCAGTGTACTCCGTGGATGGAATACCACAGAGGTCTCTGGTGGATAGGATATGTGCTAATTTCCTTAATATTCCAGTATACACTGGAATATTTTCTAGTGTCATTCAGCCTATTAGTGACCATAGTCAAGGGATGTTATACATTGTTCTCTCCAGAAATATTTTGGATTGTTAGATGAGAAACTTTGACCAGAACACAATTATCAGGAGTTTGATGTTAGGGTCAGGCAGGTATGGTAAAATGTACATTAGATTCAATATATAGCTCATCCAGGAAGAGTAGTAATAGAGATTGAATTAGAATTCACCTTAAACAGATACCAGATGTTTAAAAAAGAATAAACTAAATGAAGTTTGATTTTTAATGAAAAGTGAAATTGAAATTTGACGTACATAGTAAGATTACAATAAGTATGCCTACATGTATCAGAGGGTGATAGGAGTTAAATGAATGGTTATCTTTGTATCTGTAATTCTTATCTCATTGTGGTTATAGCTGGGGATATAACAGATAAAAACAGTATTATGTTCTTTATGGTCTGGCGAGTGCCAGTTACATGCACGTATGTTTTCCATGCATGGCATGGTGCCCTGTCATTATTCAAGCTAGCAGAAGTAATATGGAGTAACTACATTGTGGAGTATACAGTAGGGATTTGGTACATGTTGGTTAGATGGAATTCTTTATGAGGTTAAATAAATAAATACCATTTGGTGGAAGACCTATCATGGTCACTTAAGTAGCATAAAAAACAAAATTTTATTTCTGTTTTGATGCACTTAAAATTTCATTTTCATTTTCACTTTCAAAAGATGGTCCAAGTTTTCAGGGAGGA